TTCGCTCGGAGATCTCGTCTATAATTAACAGCGATTCGATCGCCGGCCGCTGCTTCTGCGTTGGAACGGCGGGTAATTGCCGGTTTGCCCGTCGCTTATTTGCCTACGAATTTCGCGGAGTTCCGCGCGGTGCCGCGCCGCGCCGCGCGCCGAGCAACGGTATAGTTCCTGCTATTGTTGAAAACGCGCCGCGTTCCCGCATCGATTCGACGCAGCGCTTCGTTCCGCGGACGAGTATCTGCGTCACGGCGACGACGGGTCACCGTCGCGGTTCCCATAAGCGTCCGTGCCGGAGGTAAGGGCGGCCGATCGGAAAATCGCGAGGAATCCGATGACGTCCAACGATCGAAAAGGAAGCGACTGATATCCATCCTCGATCGCCGGCCGACCTCCTAGCAGTCTAGACGAGCGGGCATTCCTCGAAGCAATCGAATGCTATTAATCCCTCTCGCTACGAACGCGTCCACCGTGAAACGCGTTTCTCGTAGAAGAAACGCTGGAAACATTCGGAACGCGGCGCAGGCAGCAACGATTTCCCACGCTGCGGGACACGAAGGATTAAAGTGCCTTTAGGGCACGAAGGATCGACGGGGATCTTGGATTCCAGAGTGCGCCAGTCACCGGGCTACCCGTGAATCGATAGTTTCGAAACCAGTCGCCGATTCATCAGCTGTCGCCGCGTTAGAGTAACGCGAGGGTCCAACGGACGAAGATAAAATCGGCGCGCTTTCGGCAAATTATTCTCGTTACTCCGATTCCGAGCTGCAAAGCGTCCAGTCCGTACTCTCGGATTCCTGTACTCGCCCCGTTCTCTCTGATACAGTTCCGTATCGGGACAAAGGATAACCGAAACGAGGCTCGTTTATTTCCCCGCAGCCCAACAACGGTTTCGCGGTCCGCTGGCTGCGGGGGACAGGGCAAAAATCGTCGAAACACGACGAAACGGTTTCCATCGGGGAACGAGAGACAGAGGGTCCGAATACGCGGAGAAAGAGTTGAAGGCGTCGGGACATTCCGGAACCCATTTTCCCATGCACGTGCGCGCAGATCCCGACGCGCTTGTGCCCATGCTCGACGTCCGAGCCCGTGTCGCTCGGCTCTTTCGTGATTGCGCAAAAATCATTTGCATGACAATGAAGCACGGCCGCGTGCCGGATAGTTTAGCTCGTCGGCCGAAACGAAAAAGGACGAACAACGCCTGAAAACCAGCCGAGAGCTGTGGGAAACCGAGCGCGAGATGAAACGCGCGACAACGCTCCGCTCGGTCGTCTATTATATTAACCTGGCAGATAAAAACCATAAACAACGGGTCGTTACGCGGAGCGGCGGTTCGACGCGTTCCCGTTCCGTGCAGCGCGCGGCGTGTGTCTCGGTCTTCGTTTTCGTGTTTCACAGCATCGTTCGTTGCCGCTCGGATGAATCATCGGTGATCGCCGGTATGCGTCGGGGGATTCACCGGAATTCCGATTAATCCGGCGATCCCGAATCTTGCCTCGAAATCCGGCCGTGGAAGACGGAAATGCCAGGAATTCGACGCGCTCTGTCGTCCCCTTATCTTTCGTCGACTGTTCGAGCGATTCCATTCGATCCGGAGTCATCGAGGAGCCGACCGATCGGCTGGAAACCCGTTGTCCTCGCGGGACGCGTTCACGGTACGGAAACAAAGACTCGGCACGCGGAGAAAACGTTCTGCATACTTTATCGCGGTCGTTTCTCGTTCGCGACGTCGTCCGCTATCTGCCAGAAAATCGATACAGAATTTGATTGGTCCCACGGATCAGAGCGCAACCCGTCGCCCCGACGCGGGGTCCTTGAGGAACAAAGGACCGGACCGATGACACGAATCTCGGCCGAGCGAATTCCACGCGGCGCGTTCCGCTATCAGCGGAGAACCGAGAAAGGTCCGCGATCGGGCCGTTTCTCTCGGATAATCTGCACGGCAGCGACGCGATCGCCGAGCTACCTGCCGGCGATCGAGCTCGGACGCGGCCGACGAGGCGACCTTCGCCGGACACGCGAATAAATCCCGACGTTTTAACGGCGGATTTTTCTGAATTGGAATTATCGCGATTTAAACTCGCAGCCCGAGCAGTCCTCTCGGCGCGTCGCTCACTTTGTTAGGTTCGCCTCGCCGGAGAGCAATAATCACGGGTACGCGACGTGTCGCTAATGACCGTCTTCGACACACGGATCGTTTTCTGAACTGGTTCAACGGGGAAACTAAATAAGAAAGGAGTTCGTTTGCGCCGATCGATCTACGACCGATAGACCCAGGACTTTCTACGATCTTTCTTCGCTGGCTACGTTTTCTAGTCTCAACCGCCGATACGAAGCAATTAATGATAATAACGGTTCGATCGCAACAATCGGCTGTTACCGTACAAAGAAACAACACGAAAACTACAGAACCGACACCTGTGGACCATAGCTTCGCAATTACCGTTTTACACGATTGATACGATCGCAATTGCGATTCACGTTTTTTCCATTTGTAACTGTAATTCTCGCCGATTCGTTTGTAAAACAGTAATTACGGTTTACTTAGAAATCGAATCTGCCGTTCCAATTCGTTCAGCTTCCATTCAAACGCGTTTCAAAGGAAATACGAGCGTCTTCTCCGTAACTACCCCGTACGTTTCGTGGCCGATTCAAGGGTAAGACTTGTTTCCTCCGGAATTCGGCGCGTGGACCGTCGCGTACGAGCAGGTATTCGCGATTTCGAGGCGTTCGCGGCCACGCTAATTGCCCACGCGGCGTCGATAACGGCATCCGATTATTTCGTAACTATCGCGCCGCGAGCGTGATTGTTCTCGGCTCCAATGCTCGATCAAGATTGTCGCGAAAGCGCACGTACGCAACGGGGACCATTATCGCGCCGCGAAAGAACCGCGATCCAGCCTCGGAACGGGGAATCCGCGGAAGGATACGCGGGGGCCCGCGTGACCCCCATTAGGCACAATAGCCGGCGCAACTGTTCTTCTTCCTCGACCGGGGAAGCGAAAGTGAACGGCGGAATTCGCGGGAGAAACACGAGGGACGGATGCGCTGATTCCGCGATGGCCGCGCGGACAAGAATGGGCTCAGGCGCGCGGACACTTTTTATCCATTCTTTATTCAGAATCCTCGAATAAACGAGGTGCACACTTGTGCGCACGCTTCGACGCCGTATAGCCACAGAAATCAAATACTGCGTTCTCTTTCGTTCGTCCCGCTTTGTACCGATTCATCGGGTTTCCCATTTTCCCAAGCCACTCGCATGTGTAAGCGAAATATTCCGCGCATGACGAACGTCTCCTATCCCCGGCGCGGAATATTTCGTATATAACAATATAAACTGCCGATATACAGGCCAACCGTCGGTTGAACGCCGCTGATGTCTGAACACAAACTTAATAAATGATGCAAATAGGTTAAATCCTTGCGTAGTTTTATTTTCGAATTTTAAGCGTAATCGGATCAACTAATCGCGTGTTCCCGATGAATCACAGAGGCAAATAGGATCTTGGTCCACGGAGGCTCGGCGAGGCCCGACAATATGGCGGACGGCGTCTATTCGGAACGCTCGACCACTTCGCGAGGACCCTGGCTTTCTTGGAAGATCGAGCGGCGATTTAATGATGTTTTAGTAGAAATCTTTCGTGTACATGGTACTTTTTTTATGGAGATTCGGTCTCCCCGAGGCGAATAAGCGCTCTCCTTTCGTAACTTCGGCCGCGAGACGCTGAAAGAAGCCGCGTCAACCGTTATCTCTTCTGTTGTTTAACAAGAAAGAATCACGATATGATTCCGTCGCTTCGAATAATCGATATCTCTCTTTCATTCCCAACATCGTTATCGCGACACCGAGGGAAGTCCAACTCCATTTATTTACAAACAGCGAGTGCATACGATGCAACGTGAACCCTTAACATTCGCGAGTCGTTTATAATTGCCTTTAACCCTTTGAACTCTGTAGACTCCAATACTGCGCCAGGAATAATATTAGATATTTTAATGAATCTTAAACTGACTTTTCTAAATTCTTTTATGATGATTTTTATAAAAATAGAAAAATGCAAATGCAGTACTCCAAGGGTTACAGTGCAGGATAATTTCGAAAAATTAAGGCTACATAGAATTCAATTCACAACGTGGTTTGTAAATTTCAATATAGCATCCATGTCATTTGCATCGCAATGAAAACGAATGCTATAGCAACCGAGAGAACGTGTTAAAGATTTCACAGAATCTGTACCTTTTCAATAATTGTAACAAAAGAAGTCAGGAATGGGTCATTTTGACCCGTCAGCTAGTTCTAGCGTTAAAATATACATCATAACCTATCCAATCAACATTCTCCCATTTCCGAGTCATCCATTTTCCCTCGCAAATGAAGACAACCGTAACAATGGCGGACATTTCGAAGATCTCGAGACGCGCGATCTCGAGACGTTGAAAAATTCATCGAAAAAATGTCACGAGACTCACCTCTATAGCCAATGAGACTCGAATAGCAGGTTCGCGAAGAAAAGGAGGACGGTTGGCCTCTAAATTCAGTTTGGCCGCCGGTGAAAAGGAATAGAGGGTGGCGTGGGCAACGGAGAGAGCAGGTCAAACCCGATTCCGTTGGGGATCGACCGGCAGGTAGTCGCTACCTTCCTCCGTTCTTTTGTTGGACGGACTTGACAGCGGAGCACGTGAACGATGAACGCGTCACGGCGAACGGGCGTCGGATTTCAACGTGGCGATGGGAAATCCTCGCGAGAGTCACTGCCAGACAATATTATCGAACCGATGCGAGACTCGAGCCGATCGCGAGCGGTTTAACTTCCGGATAATACACGCTACGGTGCACTCGAGCGCAGTTTTTCACTGAACCTTCGTCGAGCGAGCGTACACCCTATAGAAAAAGTTACCTTCGCACGCGGGGCTACGGTTCAATGGCAAAGTGCACGGTTAGCCGTACCGACTAGCCTACTAAACGACACCATCTTCTTTGTTCCGCGATATTTCCAACTTACGCGACTCCTTGCGCAGCATCTCCTCGCCTCCTAAGCGCCTCTCGCATCGCTGGATCAAATATGTCCGGTTGTTTACCTCCTCCCGAAAGGTGTTCGCGAACGATCCAACGCGGAACGACAGGTTCGCCGAGTCGTCCGTTAACGTCCGCGCATCATTCAATGGGAATTATCGTGCGACGGAACGGAACGGTGTGCGGGAACGTTAGACGAGGACTGCCAGTTACGAGCACGAACCGAGAATTCGAGCGTTGCCATTGGCTGATATTCAAAAACGGTTGACACTGCCGCGAGAAGCGGTTCCGGCGATGCCTCGTCCTTGTTTGAACGGGCGGACGGTTCGCGAGACACCGGCTGTGTCCCGTTCGGGGGACAATCGGCGGAATATCGATAACATCGGGACACGTTCGACGAGCAGGACACCGGGGACCGTCCGAGGGAGAGAGAGCGAGGGAGAAAGGGAGGGAGATAGACGGCAGGAGTATCGTTGTACGTGGAAGGACCTCGAGCGCCTTTGGAGGTTACAATTCCAGCTCGCGACGCAGCGCGCTGCCCGAACCGTGCAGGATATTTACGAGCAGTCGAATCCGGTTACTCACCGTCTCGTCGTGGACCCGCTGCGTTGTCGGCGACGCACTCGTACGCACACTTCCTCGTCGACCGATCCAACCACGAACTCGCGACGGAAAGAAAAAGGATAACCGAAGAAACTGAACGCGACCAGGACGAACACAACACACTCACGAGTCACAAAACAGACTGAAGCTCGCGAGCTGGCCGGGCACCTATCCTCGACGTTGCTACGAGACCGAGCGGCACGGACATGCCGCCCTCTGTCTGCGCAGCGGCAACTCGCGCCGGCCGCGCTCCAGCCCGCCAGATTTGAATTTACGTTTAACGCGTTCCAAGATTTCCCTTGTATTTTGCTTGTGAACTGTATTGATTTTTTTAATAAAATATTCACTTGTATTCGAGTGTTTGGTTATTTTTATGTATTTTCGTATTGTCTTTAGAGAAAATATTTTCTTATTGGAATTTGCGTACCATATGTGGTACACGTAGGATTGAAAACGAAACTGTAAAGTTGAATATTTAATATTTCAAATTAACTTATTTCGTTTGACAGGGATTTGTTTATACGTAATAGTATCGTATATATTTATTGACAGTGCACTTGCAATGGGCTGTAATGAGTTAATACATTTAAAAGAGGTAGTAGTTCCTTTCTGAATAGCTTGAACCGATGAAATAAGACGGTACAGAACACGTATGCACGCGAATGCATTCGTAACGGTGTGCTCAGTCGCGTGGACTTTAAATAACATTTTACATACCAACGAAATCGTATAAATATTTAGATTCACAATCTTTGGCTGCGATTGCATCGATAATCTTAAATTAGGAGATAAATACGGAGGTATTCGGAGCAGGACAGCTAACGTTGCCGCCCGTATCGTCGGAATATTTTTGAAACCGTTTGGGGACTCGTACGGTGATCCTTTCCGGTCACGAGAAATCGTTGCCTTCCCGTTCCCAGTCCTTTGTTGCAGGACAAAGCCACGTAATCGAGGAAAATGTAGCCGGGCCGTATTACGGTATCGCATCATTTAGTTCCCGGATACTCGAATTAACGGAAAACGAACTTTAAAATGGCCATAAAATGGTAATCGGAATTATTTCGAGATCCTTATGAATTCGACGTTGTAAAAAGAATTAAGGATACGCTCGGTAACGTTAACCGTCCCGCATTTTATATCTCTATTATTAGATGTCTATGAATCCCATCACAAAGAGGCACGACCAGCTTCGCAGAGTCATCGCGACGACAAAACCGACTGCGGATTTCATGCATTTTATGCATTTACGGCGTGCGCGATTGTCTTCGTGTCGACACTGAAACTACCGAGCAATCGGCGTAACTTCGAATATCCTATCAAAATCGGAACGATTGTATTCTGGACAAATGTGTTCTACAAACCGTCGCGAAAGCGTGTTAGCGATTGAAATACTTCGAAAATAAACATTCTGAAATCTGTGATGCGTCCGATAGTTCCAGTGTTAAGGATGTACAAAACTTGATTTTATTTCGATTAGCGAAGCGTCGAGAAGTCCTCTTGAAAAGTCCGCGCTTGCAAACGGATCCGCGTTCGAAGGACGACGTTATTTCAACGCGTGCCACACGGTGACGAGTTTCCTGGGGTTGTGAAGCACGGAAAACCAGTGCAGCCTCTCCGTCGAGCCTCTGACTCCCTTTCCTAGGGCGACTTTGCCGATATGAACGTCCTTGGTCCTGCAGATCGAAGAGACCGAGTCTTCGCTGTCGCTCTGATGCTCCGCGCTGATCGTAGGAATCTCCGAAGCCAAGTTCTACGGAGATCAAGTGTATCAGCGCATGTTCGTTGATCGGTATAACCCTTAAAATGTACTTTGTCGCTGTTCTTACCTTGCTGCATAGCACTACTAGAAATTGCACAATGTCCAGTTGGTTGTACGTCACGTCGAACGTCAGAGTCTCGTTGAATTCTGGTTGCGAAGTCGCGCAAAGGAATTTCGTTTTCTTCCTTTTCATTTTCTGGCCTGTCCTCGCGTTCAGCATCAACACCCTGACGTACGGATCTAAAATAATCCAGGTTTACAATCGTATCTTACCGGAGGGTATCGCGAGCACCGGGAAAAACTTTACTACGGTTTTATCGCTTAATTATTGGCTCGATTTCGTTCGGCCTAAACGCGCGTATAAAACCGGGAATTCGCATAAGCGTCCGCGGTCTGATGATTAGTACGATATCTTACTGAAGTGGCTTAAATTGGACACCGCCGGCATGTACTTGACGTCCCGCAGTTTCATTACATTTATAGTCAGTCTCTGTGCAGTGGGTAAGTAACTTATACCTAATAAAACGTTTCCAAATTCCTGAAAAACCAAGCGGTGAATGGGTTCCTCGATTCGTGGAGGATCGGTTAAGAGAATGTTTAACATTGGAACTACCGAATCGGTCGAATCGACTCGTTCCTGAATTCTTCTTTCGCGACTATTGGGAAAATCATTGAAGCTTCCCCGTGAAACTGCTGAAGAAACTGATTTAATCGAGTTTCCACGGAACAATTCGGAAAAGTCAGTTCGACCGCTCGGCAGCTCTAGCGGTGATCACGATACCAAATTGGACGGCTTCATTCTGAAATTGAACATGTGGATCTCCGGACTGTGCAGGATGTGCTTGACTTCTTTCACGGATACCCTCAGGGAACACAATTCCGTGTCGTTGGCGTACCTGTCGTGGTCGTACGCGGCGAAATCGAGGATCCAGTCCTGCCGGGGAAAAAACGCGTAACCGCGGTAAATCGAATCCCGGAGATTGCGCTTCTAGGACGAGAATATTCGATTCTCGTGACAGCCTGACGAAACACGCGATCCGGCTTGCGCAAAACGCATTCGCGTCGCGCGCCGCGCTTATGCGGGCCTCGCCGCGTTCTCGTTACCAGAATTACCTTTCCGATAAGCGACTTCCGGCTCTTTCCGTCGCGAAAACGCCTCGAATTGGAGTCTCTATCGCGGTTCTGCTCGCGGTTCGCGTCGTTAGCAGCTACGCACGAACGTTCTCCCTGACGTCGCATTACGGCGAGCACCGCGGGATTATCGCACAGGAAAATTTGAAAGTTCCTTACTTAACATCGAGCGTCGTGTTATGCGTCGACACGTGAAATACCGGAATAAAACGGCTTCGTTGGCCGAATTTATTCGCGACTTCCCGATAAGTCGGTTTCAAAGAACGTCGAGATCCGATCGGAAAACGGTTGAACGTTTCCAACGGTAAAGCTTTCGAGTGCAATGAGATATCACAGTCGAGCGAACATGTGCATAGCCGTTGTGATAGTCGCGTTTCGCGTTTCGCGTTGCGCCGGGGCGACGTGACGCGTTTCGCAGCCTTGAATTAAACGCAACGCTGAAACGGGACGGCGCGGCGCGGTGAGATAAAAGAAAAAGCCAAAAAGGAAGGAAATAAAATGCCGCAGCTACCTTAACTTCGTGCGACTTTACGTTCGCGACGACGAACGTCTCCTTAAAAATAGGACTGGCCGTGTGCCTGACGCCTCGCGTTCGGAAACTGTGGAGTTTTTGCCGTTTCCTGTGGCTCCACGATTGCTTGATAATGGTCAGCGCCACGTACGGCTCCAGCGTGCAGTTGTACTGCTTTGGAGGAAGCCCGGACAACGCCTGTACAACATTTAAACCCTTCAGTTTATACCGGCGTACGAGTCCGACAAGTTTTTCGCGCTCGTTCGGATGCCAATTACACGCGCCTCACGGTTCTATCGTAATTGCTCGAAAGCTTGTCGGCGGCGGGCAACGTCTCATTAGACATTCGTAATTGCCCGCTACCGTTAAGCTGGAACAACAAAGCCGGCTTATCTGCCGATGAAAACGAGAGCCGAAGATGTTCAGGTAGAAATCACGGCGGTCGGAGGCGGAGCGAAGTTGGAAAAGGAACGCGTGAACACGGTGCTCGCAGTCCGATCCGAAGCGACGGCATTCCGACGCGTTTCCCGTCGCCTCGCGTGGGACACGGACCGCGCGAACATTGAAACCGCGTCGGACTTGTTTCGGATTTACGACTCGATTTCCATTCGGGTCGCGGGACACGCGCGACAAAAGCGAACCGGCCGTTTGATACCTCGATGCCGATCACGAGCTTCCCGGTGACCGACTCGTCGAACGGCGGCAGGTACTGCAGGCTCAGCGTCAATTCCGTCGGGAACTCCCTTTGTTTCTTCTCCGGCTTTTGCTTATCTTTCTGCACCAGGTTCTGCAACGCACCGAAACGGATTAATACAATGGATCGCAGCGTTTCGTTAAAGCCGGCTAACATTTCTACCCGGCACCGTAAATTACCAAGGTGGAGGAGGAATTTGCGCCCTCCAACTGGGCATTGTTGGGGCTCCAGGACGCTCCCGGTGTCGCTCCAACGTTTTCGTTGCTCGTGCCTGCGGAAATGTTTCGCGAGATGAGTCGCGGCGATCCAGATTCACGTTAGAACCAGTAATTAACATTTTCAAAAGATCTGCTATGATTTTCTCAGGAAATTTAGAAAGTCTACGCATAGAACATTAAACTTTTCGTGACGCTTGACACTAGGTATTAGTAATTACGAAACAAGCAAATCGAAACCAGCCATTTTATGGTAGATACGTATTTCTAGTATGGTAGATACGTAGTTCTAGTGTTAAGTATTGAAGTATTGAAATGATTCGTAACCTATGCACGTTTTCTTATTATCTTCAAAGAAAATCGTTTACGTCTCGTCGAAGAATGTTGAATAGTTCTAGAGAAAAACTTCGAAGCGCAAAAGGTTCAAAGTCGGTTGTGCGCGCACGGTAGCTCTACGCGTTAACTTCTCAAGATGGTGCTTATGCATTGTCTCGAATTGGTCGCGTGTATCGCGTGGCACGGTCGGACAGTTCGTACATGTAATGACACGGTACCGTTGCTGCCGTCTTCGTAGAGGCTGCCCAATCTCCATGACCTGTAGCTGACATCGTTCAGCTTCACGTTTTCATTCTGTCTGCTCTTGACACGCAGCGGCACAGTTTTTGCATCTCTCTCTGCAAGGAATTATTCATACCTGTGATTACGCAATTTGTAAACAGTCGGTGGGACGGCAGCTACGCGCCGCGCCGCGCCGCGCAAGACGCAGCCTACAGCTCGCCCGCTAATTACGTGCTTCACTTGACGCGTCTATAAAAACCGAGGCGAGTCCTAATTTCCTACGGCGTTCCAATTACCGGAACATCTGCGATCGAGGGCTTTTAATGCCGTTTAATCCGCGTCGCTCTAACGGGAGCGCCGAGAACCCGCGGTCGATCGTTCCACGGGATGAAAACGTTACGATAAAGGAACACGGTGAATCAGAGCTCCAAGGTTGATCGCGATTCAGACATCGTCGAAGATCTCCGTACGCGTTTCAAGCAAACGTTGCTGCATACGCCTCGGCGGAATAGAAATTCCAGGGAGCATCGATACGATTAAAACGTTCCTACTCGTTCGATGAATCCGTCCGAGCAACGAGTTGCCCAACATTCTATGCATCGAGAATATTTAGAATTCAGTGAATTCTAGAAAAGTAAAATGTTATCGGCAATAATCGCGGCGAACCACGCTTTTATCTGACGTAAGCGAGTTCTAATCCAACGATTGCATCTTCCGTTAGTCGTGTTATATAAATATGACTATTCCGGATTCGTTGAAGTTAGTTGAATTCGTTCTCATGGTTCCAATGGACTTCCTTCTAAATACGCGTCGACGGGAAATTCTGGCGCGGCCGAACGGTAAAGAGAAACAGAGTTTCCCGCGGGACAAAAGAGACGCGAATGTAACGACCGAAAGTAAAGGACGCGCGGAGCGTTTCCTCGAGTTTCTTGCTGAAATTCGTCGACGTGCGCGTCGTAACCCAGTTCAATTATTCCGCAGACGAGCCATACGCGGCGGCTGAACGGGGCGTTCGAGCGGCCGCGGAGGAGTGACGCCACGGCCAGGTGTACCGGCGCGACTCCTTCACCGAAATAATCCGCGAATAAATCGGTTTATTCAGTTTCGGAAAGCTTGCGAGCTTGACAAGGAGCAGCCGTGCGATTAACAGCGTCGCCGGCGGTTGAAAGGAAAAGCGTGTAGTTGACGTGGACTGGTTTACACCGACCGTTCCCAGCGGGACCCGCGAAATCCTTTTGTGCGCTCGGGACGGGCGTTTCCATGGCGGCGTTATTGGCCGGCAGGCGGCTGGTCCGCGGGATGACATACCTAATTGCGTAACATCGCGGAGGAAACGAAGAAAACCACACACGAGCGCCTGTGTTGTATAGCTAGCAACGCGAGAACAATGGCGTCACGTACACACACGCGACTCGCGGCGCAGGAATCGAAGCTTCCTTCCTTTCGGAGGAAAACCGCCGATCTCCGCTCCGCGGTCGAACGCGCGAGAATCTGTCGTTGAGGCGATCATAGTCAGGCGAAATGCGATTCGATCGAGTATCATTGTACTCGAAAGTTTGTCGTTGGAAGTGACACATTGCCCGATGAGACACGGACGACGTTCTTTGAAACTTACCGATGAAACATATATTGATTGAACGGGAAGCTGTTTTATTTCAGTACTTCACAGATTCGTGATTCAAGTGGTGACTAATTGTAGGAGTCACCTCTCGAGTGCAAAGGTTTAAGATCGAGCAACTTCCGCTGCAAGTTGCTACCTATAGGGTAGCCGAGGAGAATCAGTTGAGATTTAACAGAGAAAAATTTTTTTTTCGTAGATTTCTTATTAGTAGACGTTCTTCAATGTCAATGAACAAATGAAACTTAAAGACCTTCGTTTTATGAGCAAAACAATGAGCAGTGAACTCGCTAATTGAAACTCGCAATCGTCTTAATTTCGGTCGTGGATCAGTGACGATGGACGACGATAAAGGATGATTTGCCATCGAACCGATGTCGCATCCAATCATCGCGATACGCGATCGAGTGACGTTTCGCCCAACTCTGACAGACGTCCCGATGATGATCGCTCAACGTGCGAATACGGCGAGACACAGGAAATTCAGCGATAGGGATCACGACCGCTTCACGCTCGCAGAGGCCCTTCAATGACCCGCGTAATCCGGCTGCTCCTGTCATTTTGTGTTTTACGTAAGCTAGGATCCGCTAAGCTCGACGATCGTTTACCGCGATCCGCAAGCTCCTCGGAAGAATTTCCTAACTTTCGCGCCGCTTCGACGAGTCATCGCAATTTCGGACTAAACGCGACTGTCGCTGGTTCATAAATATCGCGGCAGACGTATCTGCCGCAACAATCGCGGCCGGCTAAATGATAGTGGGAAAGGTCGAAAGCCGTGCAAACGCGCAATTGTTTTTCCCGGCACGCGTCTCGTCGGCACAAGCGCGGTATAAGCGCAGCTCGCAAACGTGTCGAGAAGATAAAATATCGCTGACCACCTCCGCGCTCGATCGGCGCGCAGAATTGCCAGTCGGGAACCGATGAAACGAGCGGCGCCGATTCCACGCGTACTCCTGAAAACGTGGATTACGCGTTCGAGGCGTGCGATCTCGCGCCGCGCGTCGCGTGAATTTAATTCTAGCTCCGAGGATCAATTATCTGGCACGCGAACGCCTCTGATTAGAGGATGCGGTCCGATCTTGGAACAGTCGCGAAGGACCAAGGAAAACCATAAGAAATTGGAAAAGATGTTTCAGTCGATCTCGCCGATCGATTACCCGCGCGACCGACGAATGCCACGCGAGCGGCGTTCACGTGTAAAAGATTGAAGCTTACTTCGTTTTTTGACGCACTTGTATCCGAGACATCCTGGAATCAGAAAGCACGCGGCGACCAGCAAGCCAGCGATGACGGCCAGCGCGACTACCACTGTGATGAGAGTTAGGCCCCACGGGCCAAGAAAGTCATCGTACACCATTCACTGGAAACGCACGTTCAAGGTTACTATCTCGCACTCCTGCACGCGGAACAGCCGCTGGATTTGATAGAAAAGTCGATCGATCATCGACGATCATCGCACTTTCGATCATTTTCCTTCGCTTCGCTTTTCATTTGGACGTCGCGCGAATACCAGAGTTGCGTTTGTAGCTGGTCCGCAGATTTTTAGGAACCGAGCCACGAAAGATGGAGACGAGTGGAAGTCACGCGGTCTAAATGCACTTGGAAAAAACGAGCGTTCCGACGGTTCGATTATTCGAGGCGCGTTCCTCCGTTCCACTCCGAAAGAAGCGTTTCCGCGATAATTACAGACCGCCTCTGTTTACGTACTTAGAGCTCGCGAATTTCACGAAAGGATTCAATTGAAACTCCCAGGGAGTTCCTTCCTATATACGCACCGTTCAACATTAGAACTACCAAACAATCGAATTGCCTTTCCGAAATCTTTCCGTAGGAACTCGGAGCGTACAGCTGTCGAGACTTCAATGAATTTACGAGTCAGTTTGGCTATTACTGAATCCTTGGTAAATCCTCAATGATTTGTTACCTTTCTAATAACTGCGAGAACAAAATTCAGGAATGGCTCGATTGAGCAGTTCCATCGCGAGACGCAGAACCGAGTCTCGAATTCGGCCGTGAATCGCGCGTGCCGTCGAGAGCAAGCAGCTCGTCGAAATCGCTCGTACCCGCGGCTCGTGTTCCGCGTCGTACATCTGTCGCGGCAGTCGTCGCGTCATAGGGGCACGAAAAATAAGCCACGTAAACGCGCGAGGAAAACACTTGTGCTTTCCGCGCGCGCGCTCCGTTTCTTCTATCCGGCCGGGAAGCGACGAACGGAAGGAACCCGCGCGCACCTTGTCGTTTCTTTTCTTACCGTTTCTCGCTCGACGTTCCGCGGTTACATCGTCGTTCCGACCGCGTCGGGACAAAACACCTGTTACGGCTAGCGCGGCAAGTGCGATCGCGAAACGGCATATGGCCGTGGCGGCTTCGGCCGCGTCATCGCGCCGATCTTTCGCCTCTGGGAGCGTCCGCGACGATCGAAACGCGTCCTCGTGCCGATCCGCGATCGCGGGAAGCTTCCGTAAGCTCGTCGCGACGGTGTCACCGCGAAGAAACGTCCGTTTTCCATCGATCTGTCGGATCTTTCCGCGTTATCTCTGCTCCCGACCGACGATCGCTGGACGACCCGCGACGAACGATCGCCGATCGCGGCGGTCCTCGACGAAAAACAGGGAAGAATACTCACTCGACCGATAGAGTGTCCCATGACGAGTCAGGCGGCATTCGCGTGTCCCGGGAAGTCGAGCGGATCGACGGGGAAGGACGATTAATCGGCGGCCGCGCGTCCTTCGCGGCTCGGCGTAGCATGTGCGGCACGGCGCGGCGCGGCGCGGCGTGGCGTGGCGAGGCTGGTCGACTTCGTGCGCGATCGTCAACTCCCGGTGAACGACAAACGCCGCGGACCTGCATAGAACGAGGAACGAACGACTCGCTATCTAAACTGCCCCTCTCCAGCCGGCGACGCGACGCGACGCCGACTCTGCCTATTCCGCCGGTAGCTGGCGGTACGCGGCTCGACGGAGACCTCGAAACGCGCGGATCGTCCCCCGTAATGGGAGGACTGCTTTCGATAAACGGAACCTCCAACGGTGACCGAGCGCGCGTGCGGCCCGCGAAACGGTTTCCGGTGGCCGCGGACGCTCGCGTTTTCAACCGCCTCGCGGCGTCTTTCACTGGATCACCCGGTCCGGCGCCGCCGCTCGCTCCGCGCGACTTTTTAGAGGCCTTTTCTCTTTTAAAGAGCCAACCAGCCGATCATCCGTCGCCGCTAATTGGCCGTTTCTGCGGGCGATCTGGTTTCTCGTCGCAGATTTCTCACGGACGATGTTCTAGAGTCGAGGCTCCGCTGAGTCTTACCGATGAACCGCGTTAACCTCGTAGCTACTGTAACGGGTCGCTCCTTCCTCTGCCATCGACGGCGCGTTGTCTCGAACGTAGTCGCGCACTGGAAGATCCCATCAGTCCGTAGGCAGTTCCACGGCTGCAGTGGTAGCTGAAAGCTTAGAGGATCCAGACACTTGTGGAGCTTACGACTGCACGCGTGAAAGTTCCGCAGGAGTGCACTCGAGGAAAACTAGCGCGCGCACTCGAGCGACGAGGAAGTTTACGGTTTACCGTTGATAACGCGCGCGATATCGACGAGCGCGTCGACGCTCTATCAACGGAACGCGATAGTCCGCTGGCACACGGAGCGCGGCGCACGGTTTTTGGCATACGATTACTTCGAGTACTCGCGATAACGGCTCGAAGTAGACGTTGCGCGCCTCGCCGATAAGCATTCCGACGGCGACCCGAAAGAGAGGGTTGCGCGAGGTACGTACTCGGCTCGTTGCGCGATCAATTGCGTCTGCGGGAACGGTCGCCGCTCGAATGTACCCGGAAAAAGGAAGCATTCGAGTTGTTTACATGGTCGAAGCTCGGGTTGCTCGTCGTAACGACGCGATCGGCTTTCGGCACACGCTCGCCGCGCAATGGAACGTCGAGTTGTCCGTCGGTTGACCGTGCTCGCGTCTGAATCGCGACTCGGAGAACCGACAGCGAGTCGGACGCCTCCGAGGGAAACGTTTGTGTCGCCGTTTAGAACGTTGACTCTTTTCTCTCGAGAGTCGTACCTTTGCGAGCCGGGTTCACAGAGTTATATAAGCGTCGGCCAGGACTCCGTCTTTTCTCATGCACGCTAAACGGTAATGCCGACGCAGTCATTATCGGGGACCATTTCTTCTTCGCAAGTCCTGCTAACCGTTCCTCCAAGTTCTTGGGACTCGAGGACGATGCTTGGAAGTTGAACTTCGGAGAATGTCTTATCGACAGATTTTCGTATATAGAATCGCAAATTAGCGAGTAATTTAATCATAATCGGACTGGCTTCAATTTATAATTTAGCTTCTCACGGGAGAGATTCTTGATACTTTAAAGAATTCTCATTCGCGAAGGGTTAGATATTTGACAGGATGCAATCGCGAATTGACAGAGCATTTATATTGTCTATAAATAATCGTCAATCTCGTCACTTCCGAAAAACACACGTGAAACTCTCGAGCCGGTGCGCGAACCGTGTCGTCACGCGTGTATCGCTGTTGCTCGATCAAACAGTGGTTAAACGGTCCTACCGAGCACGAGGAAGGAAATCGAGATTTCTAGTTGTCATCGCAAATAACACTTATCGGTAACGTGGTTTCACTTTTCCAGCTCGATCGAACAAACGTATAATTCCCGGTGTTTTCCGGGTGAATCTCCCGACGGTCGCGAAAGGCGATCGCGTACGTCCAGCGGAGCGACGCGAAATCCTGCGTTAACTATGAAATTGCTAATAATCCACGCGTATCTCGAGCATCGGGACGATTCTCGAGGAAGATGAGATAACAACAGCGATCGTGAGATGCACCAACCTCGCAAGAAACGTCTTCGAGCGACAAAAACGGCCAGCAACCGCGATTTCTCGAGAGGATACGGATTCATTCTTGGCAGAGCTAAGAACCGTTGACGCCGTGTTGCGTTTAAATTATCCTTTCAACGATATTTCAGCGGGAGAAGATAACGTTTCCAAGACGATATTTCATTCGGGTAATAATTCTTCGCGGCCATTCGTCGCTGTCGCCTCGAACAAGGATTGTGTAACTCGAACGTTAATGTTCGTCGGAATACACAATAGCGGAGTTGTTCGCGCCTTTGTATTTCAAGAGCCGAATGTTATTATTTTCCCCGGTTAAACGTCCGTGCGCGTCGGTGACTTGATCTACGACACGCGAACGTGTTTGCCCACGCCTCGAGCGGCCGTTCGATCGGAAGAGGACTCGAACGCTGAAAAATTCCGTTCTAACATTCCAGGCGAGAAATTGGCTAATTTTTCGGTGGACGAGGATTCCCGGACCCTCGGCGACCGAAGGCTGCGTCAGCGCCGAGGCGAACAGCTGGAATTAGGAAAGTCTTGGGATTCTTTCGAGGACACGATTACAAACGGAAAGTGGCTTCTCATTGCGGGAGCTTAACCCTTTGAGCGCTATGGACGCATGTATGCGTTCGGCGAAAGTCATCGTTGTCGACTATGCACACGCATGTGCGTTTTTCGATCTTTTTAATTTCACATGGTGATAATAATAAGTGTGTATGATTAATATACGTGTTTCTTAGCATTATTCCATTTAGTGAAACTGAGGAATTACTTTATTAATTGTACGAATTAACAGAATTCATTGATGTCCAGATGAGCAAAAAAATATTCCGTCCACACGGAACGTTTCGGCTGGGAGTATTCAGCACTCAAAGTGTTAACGAAAGTCGTTCGAACGAGTTGAAGCAAGTATCAACGACGCACGATTCTTCTTTTAAATAAAATAATGAAATTTCACGTCAAGCAACTGTAATCAAATATTCAACTGAATAAATCGATGTTCGTGGCACTGCACATTAAAAACCCGCACATATAACGAGCAGACGTTTAGCAACACGAATCCCCTTCAATCTAAATTAAGATCTGGAAAGTTGCTTAAACGCGAAGACATCGAATTACGAGCCGACCGTAAAACAAGTCTGCAGTAATTCAACAGCAACGGTCGCATGAATCCTTTAATTATCCAATTACTCTGTAATCGTAGCTAACTTGCTAAGAAAGAAGATTATCGAATAAAACTGATCTACAAACTCTTTCGTCCTCGAAACTCTTTCTACAACCTTTCGAATCAATTGATGGAATAGTTTCCTGGATTTAACCCTTTGCACTCGAGGGGTACAGTCACTTGATTTGACACAGTAAAAATAGAATGTGATATTTAATGTTAAACTTCGTACAACGCCTCGATACGTGAAGCATTGGAATAAAACAGCTTTGTTCATCGATGTACTGGTGATTTCTCTTCGAGTTAGTCTCAAAGAACATCGTCCTCGCCTCGCAAAGAAATGTTAAATATTTCTAGTAAGAAATATCCGAGTGCAAAGGGTAAACATTGGCTTCCGAGCGACTCAAATACAAAATTCGCGCGCGCAAGAAAGAGAAAGAGAGCGGCGAGCGAGCGGCCGAAGAGGAAAAGGAGAGAGAGTTCATCCCCGATGGATCGGCGGTCGTTCGGACTCGGTGACCTCGATCCCTGAACCACGTCTCCTTTCACTCGAGAACTTCTTTCCGGAGGTCTTTCTCGCACCGGCGGTGCCAAGGAACGCGGTTGCATTCTAGCCTCAGTTCGCCGGAGTAGGCCGGCTCGACGCCGCGTTACCTGCCAGCCGGAGCTTTAGATTTCACTTTCATGTAAGTATAACGACAGACACACGAGCCTGCTGGCCGAGCCGACACCAGTTTCCCGAGCCTGCCTCAGCACAGGTGAACAATCCGGCGAGCTGGCCGCTGATAGTGTCCAGCCGCGATCCACCTGTATCGATCGCGAGAATCACGGTAGAAACGATCTCGATCGCGGTTGAAACTTTGCGTTCCATCGGTCGTAGTTTCTACTCGCGTCGACGTCCGCTGCTTCTGTTGGCAAAACCGGCGCGTGAAATCGTTGGCGATCGGTCGGGTCGTGTAATAGGAAGTGTCGAGTTCCTTACCAATCGCGAGAATTACGATATAAACGTCGATCTCCATCGCGAACGCGAAGATCGCGGTTGAAACTTTGCGTTCCATCGGTCGTAGTTTCTACTCCCGTCGACGTTCTCTGCTCCTGTTGGCAAAATCGGCGCGTGAAATCGTTGGCGATCGGTCGGGTCGAGTAATAGGAAGTGTCGGGTTCCTTGTCAATCGTAATGAACAGTTCGTTTGATTAGTTGTGTATCTGAAAGTTGGAAGTCTTCGCGTGTTCGTTTGCTCGTTGACGAAAGTAGAGATTAACGACGTTAAATAGCTAGGAATGTCGCAGACGGTTTCGATGAGCGGACGTGCCGATCGTAACCGAACACTCGCATCGGAGTTTGTTGGTTTTGTTATTGGAAACAAGCGGAGATCGGTGTATCGGAGTATCGGTGTCGGTTCGATCGATTAATCGGTTGTAGTATATAGCTCGTAGTTGCCGGTTGTTAACGAACGTTCGTGTATTGGATTAACGACTCTGATCGCAGAAGATTCGCCGATGCGGAATGACGCAACGTTTGGAGAGCTGAATAAGGATCACGCGTGCACGAGAAGACGCCTCTGGGGAAAAAATGTCGAGCACGAAGGACGTTCTGGTAACGCTGTGTATTCTGCTGCTCCTCCACGATCGTAAGTGATACAAATATTACCGTCCTTCGCCTACTTCTCGAGAAATCAGCGTCCGCGCGGTCCTTGATCATAGTCTAATTAGAAGCGACAGATCAACGACTCTTTTTTCACGACCGTCGGTTGCACTTTGCAGCGTCTTACATTGTTCCCATTATCGCATGGTGGATGCTAATAGTCATCCGAGAGTTTTCGAAAACACTCAAAACCTTCGACAGAGGAAGCTGAATTATACACCGAACTCCTAAATGCTTAAGAAAAGGGGACGTATCGATCTTCCGCTTGAGTAATTCAATTATAAGTTGGTAAGCTTATTAAAATCAAACTAGCCAATTACTCGGTCCTCGAAGAGGAGTTCGTCAAATATAACGAACGTGGTGGTCAATGGAGAGTCGCCTGGTGTCTCTTGGCAATCGAGTTAGAAGAGAGTTAGAGATGAATGAAATAGAAAGTGAAATCCGAGTTCTGCGTCATCGCTTTCGATCACTCCTCAACTGTTTTCCAAAGAATCGTGTATCAAGTTATTCCGATCGTTCCAGGTACCGCGAGTCTGATCATCCCCGAGGAGCTGCCCACGATACTTTCGCTGATCTATTCCAATATACCGCCGATAAAGAAAGGTAAACGCGATTACGTCACGTCCGCGTGTCACACTTTTCACGGATTCCGTTTTCCCATAGAGCCGACACGCCGGCGAGCTATCACGATCGTCCCATGCGAGACACGCGAACCACTTTCACTGGTCGCGCGTTAACTTCGCTCCTCGCGCGGTCATGCTAAAACGTACTCGACGGCCGAGATAACGACGATAACGTCTATTAACCTTCAGCCTTCGAGTCCCCGTGAAAGCGATATCCCCGGGCGTGAAAGCGATCTTTTCCGAAAGAAGCCGTTAACTTCTTTGACTTTTCCTCTGTTCCCTGCGACAGGTACCGATTCGAGAGTCGGCGTGGGTTTCCGGCTCGGCAATCACGCCGATTTTCAGGTGCTGCTCGAACTGGGCCCGCAAACCGAAACCGATCCGATCGGGAACGCCGACTCGAAGAGGCGTCGAGACGTGAGTAACAATCTGCTCTACGAATATTATGCGGCATTTATCGTGTTAATCCTGTAAAATGGAACTTACGCGATACAGTTTACCGAGTTGAATTCGAACGATCGACTTTGCAGGCCATGTTCGACGCTGCTATGAGGGGCGAGCTAGGACCATTGGCACAGGCGGTCGCGAAGTATCAGATGGAACGGAACTTGCAGAGGGAAGTGGAAAAATTGAAAAAGACAGGCGGGAAATTGAAAGATCCCGTTATCGAGGAAACTAGTGGGAATAAGGTGGAACCGATCGTCCTTTTATTCTCTTCCAAAGTATAATGTATAACGAGATCTCAGCTGTTTGAACGTTTGTTCTCTTGTTTAGACTGTGGCCAGCGAATGGTTGGCGAAATGGAGCAACGGGATGAAGCCTTCCGAAGACGAGGTCCTGACGGAAACCAAATCCAAGGAAAAGGGTACCTCGAACTCTGCGAACAGGAACACCGTGCTGAGGATAGGTCGGCCTCCTTCGTCGAGTGGCGAAAAGAGTTCGATCTCGGATTTAACTAAGTTGTACAAAGAACAAAGTAACGAGAAGAGCAAGTAACTCGAATGGTTCTGGTTGTACACGTGCCTGAGTCACACGTGTTCTTTATATTTATATATTTTGTATATATTTCATTGTACAAATGTAATTCTTTTGCACAAATATACGTATTAACCCTTAGCCAACTTATAAAATTTTCAATTCAATATTAAACCTTGTGTAATGTATCAACGCATAAAACATCGAAGTGAAATAGTTCTGTCTCTTAATTGATAGAAGATAATCAATTGCGTTAGTTGCGAAAAATATCGTTAATATTTAGACAGAAAGTAATGAATATTTTTCATGGAAAATATTGTCAAGATTGAAAGTGTTGTTAAATGGAAGAAGCACGAGTAATTAAATTAATTCCCTCGATGTTAATTGCCTAGCGAAAGCCCCTTGATTGTAGGCAATTTTCGTGAAAATTAGACAACCGTAGGTAATGTAGATAATTGTAATAGCGTTCGAGACACACGGTTTTTAGTTCCAACTGTTCGCCACTGTAGACGCTACGGTGTTCATTACAATGGTTCCCATGCCAAAGAGTTGAGGTGACGTGTACCCTATTTTCCAGTATTCCGGCGGTGGTTTTGTAAAATATGAATGCATTTAAACGTGATAAAAAGGAAGAAGAAGATGGTAATTACGAATAAGCGTCTTTCGTACCTTATATTAGAGTATAGTGTAAATTTCTTAGCGAGGTTAAGCGAGTAAATCACATTCTCGTGACAGTTCCTCGTAAACAGATTCAGACGTTCGTTTGATATAAAATACAGAGTTTTATCAATGAAATCTTTCTTTTTGCATGGTTCGATATTAATACATTTAAGTTACGCGTACTTTTCGAGCGGATAGCTTGCGAATGGTTAGTTGTACTATGCTGTTCCTCATGTCAATTTTTATTACTAGGTGGGGGAAATCCTTTCCAGAATTTGGAGAAGACCACAGTGCTCCAAGAAGCACGTACTTTCAATAATAGCCCGGTGAATCCAATAAAATGTGCACATATCCTCACAAAAATATTATACTTGTTGAATCAAGGGGAGCAGTTGGGAACAACGGAGGCCACAGAAGCGTTCTTTGCTATGACAAAATTGTTCCAATCGAAAGATGTCGTATTAAGACGTTTGGTATATTTGGGTATCAAGGAATTAAGTTCTTTGGCAGAGGATGTCATTATAGTAACCTCCAGTCTGACAAAAGATATGACTGGAAAGGAAGATTTGTACAGAGCTGCAGCCATAAGAGCACTATGTACCATCACAGATGGTGGAATGTTGGCTGCTATAGAACGTTACATGAAGCAAGCTATTGTAGATCGTTCTCCAGCAGTCTCTAGTGCAGCCTTAGTTTCTTCGTTGCACCTGACCAATGTATCTGCAGATGTTGCTCGCAGATGGGCAAATGAAGCCCAAGAGGCATTGAACTCCAATAATGTAATGGTTCAATACCATGCTCTGGGTGTTTTGTATCAAGCTCGCAAATCGGATAAACATGCAGTAATTAAGCTAGTTGCAAGACTTATGAGGACCAGTCCAAAGAGTCCATATGCTGCTTGTATGTTAATTAGAATGGCATGTAAATTACTAGACGAAGTCGACGAAGGAGAAGAGTTGTTAGCATTCATTGAATCTTGTTTACGTCAAAAATCAGAAATGGTGGTGTACGAGGCGGCGCACGCATTGGTGAACCTTGGAAGAAGCGGACCCAGGGAAATAGGTCCTGCCATTAGCGTTCTTCAATTGTTCTGCGGGTCACCGAAGCCGGCTTTAAGATTTGCTGCGGTCAGGACTTTAAATAAAGTTGCTATGACCCACCCGGCGGCGGTTACCGCCTGCAACTTAGATTTAGATAACTTGATCACAGATTCGAACAGATCGATTGCTACATTAGCAATTACCACTCTTCTAAAGACTGGAGCGGAGAGTTCTGTTGACCGATTGATGAAACAAATTGCTACTTTCGTATCCGAAATTTCAGATGAATTTAAGGTGGTAGTCGTTCAAGCCATAAGGTAATTTTCATAGATGAATTTTCTACTTTTCTGCTCAAGATGGAGGCTTTCTCTATGTCTTAATGAAATTCTTTTTCCAGGGCTTTATGCCAGAAGTTCCCCCGCAAGCACGTAGTCCTCATGAATTTCCTCTCTGCGATGCTAAGAGACGAAGGAGGTCTCGAATATAAGGCGGCGATTGCGGATACAATAATTGCCGTTATGGAAGGCAACGCTGAAGCAAAGGAAGCAGGTCTGGCACATCTGTGCGAGTTTATCGAGGACTGCGAACACAATTCCCTCGCCGTTCGCATCTTGCATTTACTGGGACAAGAGGGGCCAACGTCTAAACAGCCATCCAGATATATTCGTTTCATTTACAATCGCGTGATCCTGGAAAGTGCCAGTGTACGTGCGGCTGCGGTGACCGCTTTGGCGCGTTTTGCCGCGGCATGCCCTCCGTTGTTACCAAACGTATTAGTTTTATTATCTCGTTGCCAATTAGACTCCGATGACGAAGTTCGCGATCGAGCGGCTTATTACTGCGCCATTCTGCAGCGACAAAACGACCCGTCTATTCTTCCTCTGATACAGCCCCCTTTGTTATCCGTGCCTAGTTTAGAAAGAGCTCTGAAAAATTACATGAATACAGCTATGGACGAACCGTTCGACATCTCTCAGGTAACTTCATACTCGACGTACGTTGCATCAGTTCATATTGGCGATGATTTTGTAAATGTCGACCGTTTGCAGATTCCTCCAGCGCAAACGGTAGAAGAACCGCCGCAGATAGAGGTTCACGCAACGGTGAAACAACAGCAACCTCGGTTAACGCGAGAGGAGAGCTTCATGGATAAACTGTCACAGATACCACAATTAGCCGTAGAGATCCGCAATTCGACGCTACTGAAATCCTCGCCTGTCTTCGAGTTAACGGAATCAGAGACGGAATATAACGTGAAGTGCATCAAGCATACGTTTACAGAACTTCTTATTCTGCAATTCGACTGCATAAATACGCTGTCGGATCAATTGTTAGAGAACGTAACAGTAGCCGTTGAACCACCCGAAGGGTAGTTAAATTTTCATATATTTATTCGAGTGTTATATTCTTTGGAGAAAGCAATGTTTTATTGTAATTTTAGTTATTTGATGGTCTGCGAGGTTCCGTGTCCACTCTTACCGTACAATGAACCAGGCACAACGTATACAGTATTAAAATATCCTGAAGGTGTTCACGCTAGCGTCGCCACTATTCCTACAACTCTGCGGTTCACGGCTCGAGATTGCGATCCTACAACAGGTGTTCCGGATGCCGAACAAGGCTACAACGACGAATATATGGTACACATTATTTTCTTATATCTGATGCAGTCATAGTAAACAGTAGGTATTCAAATATATTCGTGATCCGTTTGTAGTTGGAGGATTTGGAAGTGACCTTAGCTGATCAAGTTCGAGGACTTGGAAACAGAGGAATAAACTTCAATGCTGCTTGGGCGACAGCTGCTGCGAAGGGATATGCTAAATTGGAAGAAACATTTGCTCTAGATCCTTCTGTAAATAGTCTAGAAGGGGCTATCCAAAGTCTTACCGGATTTTTAGGTTTGGATGTCGTGGATCGAACCAATCGTGTTCAGGCGGGTGCTGTTGCGCATAATCTGTTATTGAGCGGTGTTTTCAGAGGTGGAAAAGAGGTTCTTGCTCGTGCAAGATTAGCATTGTCCGGAACTCAAGTAACAATGCAACTGTCTGTTTTCTGTCCAGATCCAGACGTTGCCGAGTTAATCATTTCTTCTGTAGGATAATCATTTCTTTCTTTAAAAATTTATAACCTATACCACGTTTTCCATATTTCTAGTATTATAAAAATAACATTGTAAAAGAAATGATAAAACCTGGAGCTGTTGAATCTGTAACACTCACTGTGTAACACCTTTGTACATATAATTATAAAACTATACTTTAAATAAGACCGTTAAGATTTTTTATTTGTAACACATACAAATTTCTTCTTTCTATCTCAATTTTAATAAAACGTCCCGATATTAATTTTGATTTGTTACTTTAAATCATTACTTTGTATCATTAAAATCAATATATTCCATCATACTACTTATGCGATTTCAATTAAAACTTTACAAATCTCGTGTGTAAGAAAATTTCTTTTAAAAAATGCATGTTTACTTGTATGTACCTTTATTGTGTAATTAACATACACATTAAGCTATCATAAAGTTTCACAAACTATCTTCTTGTATCCTAAACGTAACACGCAATACTAATGTTATTTCATATAGAATGGATTTTTTTTATAAGGTATGGTATTGGTGACTCGTTTTATGTTTGCTAGTGAAACAGTGATAAGAAAAATTATTGCGCTTGGACGTTTGCGATATCATACTTATGTTTCGGTAGTTGGTGAATCCTTAATACACTTCATATAAATGTGAAACAACAATTGCAGAAATACTTCTAACATAAATAACCTAAGTAATAATTAAAATTGACAACTCATCGCCAGCACAAGTAATACATTCATGAATGCTTCATTATATTATCCAGTGTTTGAATCAACTATTAAAATAATTGTAATCATGCTTCATCTGTAATCGATTAAACGATTAACCGCGACCATTATAATGTACAAACGAGTTTGATTTGCATGAACTTGGATGCAGAATTTCACAAAAAAATACATTTTATGTCAAACGTTTATCGTACAATTCTCATTTTGCGATGGGTAATATATTGAAGCGTAAAACTGTTTACAGTAACACTTGTGCAGAGCAACAAATTCGCTAAGGTATACACAATTTTATGCATACTGATCGCACAATACATGTAAATTATATTCTAGTTGTAACATACGATACAGAAGTGATCAGAAAAGTATGTAAGTAAAAATTATAGTGTTTCGTGGGGGGCATTATAAAAATGCGTTTGACGTATCACTTACATGTACACTTATAAGAAAGCTTTAGGTACATACGATAAGTTTGAAAATAATGGTAACCAAAACTATAGATCTCTTTTTTTTCCTTGCTGAGCACAATGTATAGTTGACACGTTATGACAACGCGTTACAAACCTAAAGCTGTTTCTTATACATATTGTATGGTCCAGAATATACATTGAGAAATAGATTCTTGGTTGTATCCTTTTTTTCGCTTATAAAATACAAAGCCACAGAAGGATGAAAAAACTATTTAAAATCTTGGATCGTCTCAAGGATTAATAGTTAACTGCTTTCAGTCCGACATTGCAATCTATTTACTGACACGACCGATAATATTTCTCTATTGTACGGATGAAGAAGTTTTAATTAGATGAGCGGATGATTTCTTTGCACTAACTAGTTGGTGGTGGCGGTGGAGGTGGCTGCGCCAATAACGTAGGTAAAGTATTGAGATCGATGCCAGGTGGAGCTGGTGTTTGTTGTTGAGGAGGAGGTGGAACTGGTGCGGCTGGTGGCCATCCACCCATTTGTTGTGGCTGCCATCCGGGGAATCCTGGTGGTGGTGCTGTTCCAGGTGGAGGTGGACGCATTGGTCCCTGCTGTCCCTGTTGCCAAGGTGGAATACCCATCCCGGGTGGTGGAATCTGTGTTGGTGGCATTTGTCCAGGGGGTGGTGGTTGATTGTTGCCAGCCATCCAGGGCATCAACGGCGGGATATTCGGTTGAGATGTAGAACCCGGCGGTGGTGGAGGCGGTTGCATTACACCAGGTGGAGGAGGCATACTAACTGGTGGTTGCCACTGCATGTTCATACCATTCATGTTGTTTACTTCTCCTTGACTCCATGGTGGTGGAGCCATACCTGGCGGTGGCATCATTGGTCCACCTTGCATCATTTGTGGAGGCGGATGGGCTGGCGCAGCCATTAAAGCTCGCGGAGCTTGTTGTCTAAAAGATAAACAAGTATTAGAGAATTGTAGAAACAGAATTATACATCCTTTTTACAAGACAATTTACCTGTCAAAGAGACCAGGATAATTAGGATTCGGGTTAGGTTGTCGCTGTTGCCCACTTTTGGATCTATCAGGCGGTGGACCCTCGCCCAATTCTGCCATAAGAGACATATATTCCTCATCGATTTTAGCTTTGTCTCCACCTGGTCCCATTCCTCCCATTCCTGCAGCAGCTGGTCCACCTTGCCCTGGTCGTTTAGATCGACAGTCGCGAGCAATATGACCTGCTCCTCCACAGCTTGAGCATACTATGTTGTTCGTCACGTTCGGTTTGTCTGGACACTGTGGTAACAAAGATTTTCAAGTATTCAAGTTATTCGGTACACTCGTAACAGAACTTCTGACAAGAAATCTGGGTAATATACTAACCAGCCATGACTTGTGATCTGACGCTCCGCAATTAGTGCAACGGGGCCCATCATTTTCACGCAATGTCCCATTCAATAAAGCCAACTCTCTGAGCTGATTACGTCGTAAATCATTTTGTCCTTCAGGTACTTCTACACCTTGTCGTATGATTTCGTGAATCTGTTACAAAGAAAAATGTAATAAAAATGCGTGTGTAGAGTGGCCATGTAAGACTACGAAACAAATGGACGTACTCTCTCAACAGCTTTCTTTACGGCGTCCAGATTATTCGCTGTTATATACGCATGAAGAGGTTCATCCTCTCCAGGCAAAGGTTGCCCATCTTTCCTTCCAACTTTTCCTTCTTTCACCGAACCCTTACCACGAATTATAATTTTTGCTCCAGTTTCCTTCTCCATTGCTGTGGTACAAAAATAAATTATAACGTACGCGTAACACTGGTATTAAGTATTTACGATATTAACTTACACTTCAATGTATTTCCACGTGGGCCAATAAGCAAACCAACAAAGTTAATATCTGGATGTTCTTCTTGGGGAATCATTACTTTATCATGCACTCGTATTATCGGAGGCCTAGAGACATAAAAATTCACATTGTTATGTAAATTTTACTGGTAATTTATTTACTTGCGTTCAAATAAACCTTACTTGTAGTCTGGTGGAGGTTTAAATTCGGGATTAATTTTAAGAATCTTCTGAATAAGGTTGTGACGCTCTTCTTCCAATTTACGTCTAGTACGATATTCTCTTGTATTCAACCGTTTACCATCACTACTGTATATGGGTTCAGGAGATGGTGATCTGTAAAACAAAAAGATAAAAAAATTCATTAGAATGGAAAGCTTGCATCAAGATGGTACTAGCATACAAGCAACCTGATCCTACTATGACTGTGTGATTAAGTGAGAAAAGAACTGCTGATTATTAACAGAAAGTTGGAAATCGGGACAATACTCTGAATGACTTTTTCATTGTTATTTAGGCTTTAATCATCTCTTTGATTAACATTTACTGCCTCTTATAAATAAGATACATTGTGACCATGTTGGAAATGGATATTCTTCGTAACATAATAGTTAAAATAATTATTACTCTTTACATCAATTAAATTAAATACAAACGAAATTAAAAGTAAATCATACATAGAACATACGATATTTATATATGTACACATACAAAGACTAATAGTTTTATGTTTCAGAGGAAGCAAGCAGTTTGTTAAAGATATTTTCAAAGTTTAATAATTAAGTGTTTGCCCGTTTAAAATTTATTTGGGTAATGTTGCACAGAAATAGAAATATTCTGTTTCATTGCATGATACACTGGAATTATAAATCTAGAAATGTATAACGTTTGCTTTCCAACAGTGCCAAGGTATCAAAACAGAGAATAAAAAATGATATATTGTTAATTGTAGGATTGCTATATAAGTCTAATCAGTAGGCAACCACTGGAAGACTGCGCGTTTGTGCACGGCAGATATCGGTATGATGTCAGCTGCTAAGATAGATCCTGTGATTATTAGGAAATAATTTTTTTGGGTTAGTTAATAATAGCTTGTATATCTTACTATGATGTATAATACTAATGAAACACAATAATATAAAATAATGGTTCCAGCTAAAATCAGAAAAGTTAAACCTATTGGAGTAAATTAATTTATTAGAGAAATTAATAAGTGTATTTATTTAAGGTTGGACCTGAAAGTAACGTAAGATTGATCTTTATATAATATTATGCCTATATTAGCAATTATCGTTTGATCAATTTCAATATTTTCCTGAAATCTGCTCATTATGCTTGTAATTAAGAAAAAGAGATCTATTTTAATTACTTAATGATAAAGTTATTCCTGTAGCCATTAAGAAAATAAAGAACAAGTTTAAAATACCGTGCAAATCACGGCAGCCTAATTAGGAGGAGCATCTATCAAGGTATCCTATGCATAAAATTCCATTATTTTATTAAGATTACATATTCAGATATATTTATGAAATCTGACAATTATAGAAAGCCTACTAATTTGATCTACTATGAACTTAAATGATATAAATTGCATAGGAACACCTTAAAATTTCCCTACATGTGCAACAATAGAACTATTTAAAAGATATATGGACTAGAATACCCACTGCATGTTAAACACTGCTACTATAACTTTACTGAAGTACATGCATATGTACATGTATATATCTCTATAATGTATGTGTAGCAGTCAATTTGAAAGTTAATACATTTTCAAAAATTTAAATATGGAGTATCTAATGAATTCGTAAAGAAGAAAGGTTCGCTTTTCGATTGATAATAATTCGATATATAAAAATTTACTTTTGTAGCAGTGTTTAAAAAAATGAATTAGTAAAAGAAATTGATTAGGGCAAACCAATATTATCAAAATTCATCTTCTGTGCTGCGTGGAGGCTTAAATCAAGCCCAATCTTTTCAAACAGACATCAGTATCCGACACTAATTGTATTGGAGCCATATCATAAGGCCCCTGTACTTATGGGCTGCTGAATGGTCAGTAGATAGGTATTGTAGATATGTAATGGTCATTTTTGGTATGTAAGTTTCTTTCAAACCTTTCCTCAGGGTTAAGCGGAATTCCAAGGTCTCCAGTGCGTAGCTTCCTGCTGATTTCCTCGATCTGCAGCTGAACTGTAAACCAACGGGTTAGAGGGGGCGGAAACCCCAACAGTTAGATATTGCCAATTTGCCATAGCCATATACATTCTATAATGTAAGCATGTGTCAAAAGTGTAGAGTATTTTCTTATGTCTAACAATTTCCACGAGGTAAATGTTCCAATGAAATATATACATTTGTTCCTTTTATCTCTCTTTTTTCAAATAATGTACAAAAATATTTTTATTCATTTGTTAAACTTGCTGTTACGTATATATGATTATACATTATACTTGAAAACAAATAGAATTTGTTGTCATTATTCAGCAAAATTGGCAATTCTATTGCCATATGTGACTTGCTCAAATTGTTTAAACGAATGAATTACCTCTGGCAACTATATATACTTCAGCAATACATACATACTTACATCTTTTATAGTCTTATAAATTTGGTTTCAGAAACTTATACGCAGAAGCAAGATTCTTAAGTTATTTCCTGCCCATATATATACATATATATTTATGCACATATATATATACATATGTGTGTGTAACATATATTTATATAAAAAACAATTCAATGAAAACAATGACCATAGTAAGTAAGAAAATGAACTTACAGAGGTAAGCCTTCTCCTGTTCAGGAGTCAGGTTTGTTGGGAGAACTGTAGGCATGCCTGGTATAAATGTTTTGTCATGTTCACTACCGCCCCATCTAGTTTTCCTCCTCTTCCTACGTTCCTCTTTCGTCTCTTTTTCCTGCTTACCATCACCTAAAATATATTTGAGTTACTCATCCATGATAAAATTACAAAATAAAAATACATTGTACTACACACAATGCTAATAAAGGGGAACACCAAACAATAAGAGTAACATATATTTCACATATAAATACACACTGATTTGTATGTATCTATTGCTTATCGATATAAAATTTCATGTTACACATTAGATAAAATAACACTAAAGAATAACAATGTACAATTATTATACGTATAGTGTTTAAGGCTAAGAATACACACAAAATATGTTTGTTACAGAATTTGACATGTCAACGTTAAAGATTCCCGGTGTAAGCTACATCTTTTTGATAGAGATATTCCATTGTATTGGAAACATTAAATCTGTCTATCGTATGACCTCTAACGATACCAACAACGGCACTTGAGGAACAATGAGTTATTGCTTCCAAAAACACACAGCTTACATCTGAAAATCTTAACAGTGAGAACTTCAGTGTACCAAAAAAGAAGCCAAAGCGACTCATGGTGTATGTAACGTTCTGAACTTAGCTAAGTTTGTTGGTTTAATCCTAAAACACTCTCTATGAAAGTTCAACAACCCTTCTCTCAGTGGTCTGTATACAAGGTACAGATGAGCAACAGCGAGCGAAATGGACACGTCGCACCGCGTAAAAACTGTCTAATTAGGCGAACTGTATATATGAAATGAACTCGCTCGATGCGTACTTTCCGCTTCACGTTTCCTGGTGTTGTTCGTCGTTGAATTGGTGGAATTGGAGCTTAGCTGGGTACCGTTTGCAATTGCGGCGCTCACCGCGGCGGCTGCAGCAGCTGCAGCAGCGGCTGCGTTTGCAGTCGCAGCATTCTGCTGCGCGTTTTGCAAATAACTCGGGTTCAGCAAGGATGTGAAATTTCGGGACTGATTCATGACAGAAACCGTGCCACGCACGTAAAATGCTTTGAGGATATCCACACGTTTACCCGCACGGCACCGTCTTTTCGCTCACGATCAAACAAGAAGTATTCACACCACCAAGGAAAATGGCGAGGCTCGACTGGCGGACACCTTTCGCTTCTTTCATGGGCGTACCGGAGGCGGATGCTCCTTTTCCGATTCAATTTAGTGGGGAACATTCTCGCTAGTTGGCGCTTCGATGAGTTTCAGAACACCTTTAGCGACAATATAGAACTGATTCTTAAAAAACCGAGGAAAAATACTCAATTATACAATTTCATAATTATCTTATATTCGAATAAGTGTAATAACTCGTTTTCTTTGCTAAAAATTATACCGTCCAAGGTTGCGTCGTAATATATTTGACTTACGGGTGTCCGAGATGTACATACATACTTCACTATACTCAAAGTAGTCGTTACTTTCATGAATTGGGATTAATTAAAGAAATCACGTATTTTCTTGTAGAATAATACGTTTCGTAGGTAATTTAAATATTGAATTTAGTTGTTTTCACTTGCGTTCATTTTTCAATGTCGAATCGACATGCTCGATTCATAGGGAATTAGCGGTTCGCCAATCAGGTCGGTTCTCTGAAAGGGCACATACGTGGATGCATCGAGACGCAACACATTCATTATTTTTCATTGGTCGGCCGATGCAGGCGTTATTGTAGCCACGAAACATGCATCTCGTCCGGCTATTGGTCGCAGGCGTCAGCTATAGAACTATTGAAACACCGACTTTCCAAATCCGTAGATTTGCATTTAATTCGCGGTTGTCGCCGCGCGTTTCACCGCAGGAATCGTAGTCGGCTCGTGATAAGGTGATACGCCGGCGAAAAGTAGTCACGGTGTACCGACGTAACGCCACGCGACGATATATCCCGGCATTCTATTTGCAATCACAACAATGGAGTCGAAAGGTTGTCGGACGCTCGAGAAACGTGATGTAACGTTATACGTGTAACGTGTTCTCGAGCGTATTGACACCGGCATTGGAACAGCACCGATTGTCCGTAGCTCGCTCGTCATGAACGTGAACGAACAACCGCCATCGGAAATCGCTTGACAGCTGTTCAACGTTCGACCGTGATGCGCGCTGACTTATTTTTCCCGAGCATAAGAAACGCAGCCGTACGCGGTCGCGCGAGCTCTTGCAAGTGATCTACGATGAAACTGATGTATGGTCGCGACGCGTCGCAACGTGGATCCGCCGCAGCATAATCGTGCAACCTGAATGTTTTCCTCGGTTATCATTGCGCTCGAGGAACAGTTCGCGGTGTAATGGCAGCTCATAAGACGGGCGGGCAGAGCGCCCGAAAGAAAGTCCAGGTACATGTCCGGAATATCTTATTCCCCCCAATGGAACTTCCTCCTTTCCGTCGGTTATGCTTCGAACTATGATTCCATGCGAGTCGAATCGGCTGTTCTCACATCGTGACCCTTATGCCAAGCCCATGAATATGTCATTCAATCAATTGTAGGCATTCGTATTTAAATAGAAAATCTAACAGGATCATTCTGGAAATCAAAATTTCCGAGTTTTTCCTGTAAACGGTGCTGTTTACGTTAATTGTAATTAGAAAATAATTCTTAATTATTCTTCTGATTCTAATTACTTGTTTGGAAACATAAATCATGTTTGTTACTGTAGTGCAAGAATAGTGGAAAGAATGGAGGCTTAAAAAAAAGTATCAAGGAAAGAGACGTTTACCTTTCACATTGATATGCAAATTAATGTAAGCTTAATAAAAGTGAGAAGTCGATTATTATTGTGCTTGGATTGTTTCTTGCTCATAAATGTTTCATGTTATTTTAATGTGTCGTGTTTATTTCAACTCGATAAATGAAAATTTTCACATTATTCGAAGGTTATTTCGAAAGTTATAATCAAAGGTTTTCAATTTTAAGGTGTCCATGGTTATAAGAGATGAAGTGGAAAAGAGGCACAGAGCTGGTGTCAACTCCTTACAATATGACCCAGCTTTACACAGGCTTTATTCTGCAGGTAGAGATAGTATTATAAGGATATGGAATTGCAAAAATATGAAGGACCCTTACATTCAGTCCATGGAACATCATACAGATTGGGTCAATGATATAGTATTATGTTGTGGTGGTAAAAATCGTATGTATTACTGCATTATATCAAAATAGACAATTGCAATATGAAGCAACTCTATTGACATCTATAAAATCATAAATTCTATTTACTTCTTTATCGGATGTTAGGATCATTTAGCTGTATAGATGCTAGTAGAGTTGCTTTATGCTTTATAATAATATTTAAATGAATCAGAAGAATAAGTTTCTTTTTTTACAGTGATATCAGCTAGTTCTGATACAACAGTAAAAGTATGGAATGCACACAAAGGTTTCTGCATGTCCACATTGAGGACACACAAGGACTATGTGAAAGCTCTAGCATATGCTAAAGATAGAGAACAAGTTGCTAGTGCAGGTTTAGATAAATTGATCTTCCTGTGGGATGTTAACACATTAACTGCCCTTACAGCTAGCAACAACACAGTAACAAGTAAAGATAAAAATATGAAATGATTTCTTTTTTTATAGTTGTGTTAATTCTGAAGTAACAATTTTATGGTTTATAGCATCTTCCCTTAGTGGGAACAAGGATTCAATATATAGTCTTGCCATGAATCAGACTGGAACAATTATAGTAAGCGGTAGCACAGAAAAAGTTTTAAGAGTGTGGGATCCAAGGCACTGTACTAAACTAATGAAACTTCGTGGACACACCGATAATATTAAAGCTTTAGTATTAAATAGAGATGGCAGTGAATGTTTGTCTGCTAGTTCCGATGGAACTATTAAACTTTGGTCATTAGGACAACAAAGGTGTATTCAAACGTTTAGAGTACATACGGAGGGCGTTTGGGCGTTATTGGTAATTGTCTCTTTCTTTTATATAATAATTTTTGTGAACATAATATACAATTAAAACTATGATTCAAACTAAACAAAAAAAAAATGATTTTCAGGCAACAGAAACCTTCAGCCATGTGATATCAGGGGGTAGAGATAAAAGAGTTGTAATGACTGAATTAAGTTATCCTGAAAGGTATACTGTTATATGCGAAGAAGAGGCACCTATATTAAAAATGGTTATGATGCCTGATCAGTCTAGCATCTGGGTAGCAACTAGCGAATCTACTATAAATAATTGGGTAATAATCTTTTGTATTCTGTACCTGTAATATTAAAAATCTTTCGAATGTTACAAATAAATTAATACTATCATAATTCATAACAGTCTATAAGCCCAAAAGATTGGCAAGACTCAGGAATTGGTGATTACTGTGACTCTGCTACCGGAGTGACTTCAAACGTTTTGCGAAACACGGAACCTGCACAAAGAATATTAGGTGGACCTGCAATAAGGCACTGTCATGTTTTAAACGATCGAAGACACGTACTGACTAAAGATACGGAAGAGAATGTAGCCTTGTATGATGTATTAAAAGCGTGCAAGGTGGAAGATTTGGGAAAGGTGGACTTTGAACAGGAAATAAAGAAAAGAAATAAAATGGTGTATGTTCCAAATTGGTTCAATGTAGATCTTAAAACAGGAGTACGTATTTATGTAATTTCTTGTAATATTTAAACCTGAAGAAAAAACTGTGACATGCAAAAAAACAGTTGATGCTTTCATTCTTATAGATGTTGACCATTCATTTGGGTCAAGACGAGAACGATTGTTTTTCTGCATGGGTCTCTGCAAAGGAAACTGGTCTCGCTGAAAATGATGCTGTCGATCAAAAAGGTAATGTTCTTTCTATTAAAAATATTACCTTGTTTACTTTCTTCTTAAATCGGATTTTCCATTTCAGTTAATTATGGAAATCTTTTGCTGCAAGCTTTACTGGAGCATTGGTGGCGGCCGTTGCATGCCGACGATGAAAATGAAGGTAGCGGTAATGACGGTAATGGTCCTATACATACAAGAGGAGGAAACCCATACTTTTCAGTACCTAGTCATACACCTCTTATATTTAGGTATTAATCACTGATCAATTATATACAGAAAATTGTAATGTCATTAGTTCTATTAATGATAAAAATGTTATTTCATTCTAGTGAAGTGGGAGGAAAAACTTTGTACAGATTATTAGTTAGAGATGCTTCAGGAGAAACAGAAGGAGGTTTATTAAATGAAACTGTACCAGCATGGGTAGTGAATATCGTTGTGGATAAGAATCTTCCACAATTTATTAAAATACCTTTCTACCTTCTTCCACATGCCACATCTGGTGTAAAGAGTCTGAAGAAGTATGTAGCAGGACAATTACATTTTTACGTAATTTACGCCGGGGAACGTGTTCTCAATTTATTAACGTACCTATATTTTTATGTTTCAAGGGATCGTTTAATTGCAAATGATTTTATACAAATTCGTAAGGTGGCAGAACATGTTTGTGACAAGGTGCTTGGTGCTGGAAGTGATTCAGGGTCAGTAGCAGGTGCTGGAAATACAGTTTCCGGGGGTTCCCCAGCAGGGGATAGAACAAATACAGACTCAAACGCTGATAATTCTTCGCTGGCCGAAGAAAAAGTTGAAATTCTTTGCAACGATCAGGTTCTGGATCTTTCTATGGATTTAAGAACGGTAAACTTCTTTTTCAATTTGAACAACTATTTATAATGATATGTGTCGTTAAAATTTCTATTTTATTGTACGTTAGGTCAGACATTTGATTTGGAAGAGTTCAGCAGACTTAACGTTTCATTACCGGCCTGTCAAATAGTTAGGACTGAGTACATCAGAACAGGGATCTCTAAAGTGTGCCTGGTTTTTTACTATGGTAAGGTAAGTATATGTATGTGATATATATATATATATATTACGTGGATTGGTATATTTGCTATACAGAGGAAATACAATTTCAGAGTAACAGGAGACATGTGGACTAGTTGCAGAGTGTGGCATCTCACGCTACCTCCTCTTTATGAAATGTTTAATCGATTTTCAATGGATGTTTCGTTGGACACCGCAGCGGAAGATGAGTAAAAACCAGGCAACATACGGAGTACTTGATACTGCATGCGCTCAAAGGCAATAATGTGTGGAAGTATTAGCATGAATTGCTCATGTTTGTATATTTATATCCTGAGGCCAAACTCATCCCTGAAATACGGTGAAACGCTGATTTCAGTTAGGTCTGCTTTTAGAGATATAATATGTTTTTTGTACCTGGGTGTATAGTATTAAATGCTTATATCGTCAGCCATTTATCGTCTTCCCATTTCAAAAGTATCAGTGAGAAGGTTAAGCACAAAAATAAGGGACAGACCGTATGGCCCAGGAAATTCTTGATTCTGTTTAGTTAAAATGCCATCATGTTCACGCGATGCCTCTCAAATCTTTCTGTATTACTATCACGTAGACGTATCTCATAATTTATAACTAGTAAGATTTCATTTTTCGTTTAAAATAAAAGAAAGAGAAACCGGTTATGTATTTATTAAACGAATGAAACGAATGTTTGTCAATAGTACTCCACACGCCTGCCTTGTTATCGTAAAGAAAAAAGCAAACTATTATGGGAAGAAGAAAATGTCAATTTACTATTAATCAAATTACATTTGAACAGCCAAATTAACAGTTCAATATTTCCTGTCAATAACATAGGAAAAATAACATATATATATATACATACATAAATATATATCTGTCTTCGTTATGATATGGTCAAATTCTGTCTGTAGTGGAACTTCCATTAATTAAATTTGTATTTACAAAATATATAACGATGTTTCATAAGAGAGGAAAAATATAAGTATGATATAGTTGTCGGATAAAACAGATATAGCTACATCGACAGAATTTGACCTTAGGAGACAATCTCTAACAGATAAAAGAGAACAGAAGAAGAGTATGTAGTTGATCTTACGTTAAAAATGTTCACTCTACTAGAATCCCACAAATTGTATATAAGAATGCGAGTGTAAGTAATGTTCCCTAATTACGGTGATGGGCTGTATAAATAAAATTGAGTGAAATATTGTATCGAAAACTAGAGCTTTTACACCAATTCTACGAAATTGGGATAAATGCTTGACTTTTCTATTTAAAAAAAAAGAGAGAAAGTGAAAACGTAGTAGAAGAAGAAGAAGAAGAAGGAAAAGAAGAAGAAAAAGAAGAAGAAGAAGAAGAGGAGGAGGAGGAGGAGAAGGAGGATATACTGTTCTTTATTGATACGGCCCTAAATGTTATAATTTTTGTGTTATCAGAATGACATAGAAGCAAATTTTTAAAAAAATCTAGAGATTATTCCATTGTTACATTATAATATGCTGCGTATCGTAAATCTATCTTTTTATTCAGCTTTTGTTATAGGAATTTCATAATGTAATGATATAATTTACTGCCGCTTGTTTTTCTTCTTCAGTTAGAGTACACATTTGTTAAACCTTCGATTCAGTTCTTCTCTCGAGCCAATGTCAACGTTGATTAAGAGAACATGTGGCTACCAAAAAGAAACTTGTATATTTTATAGTTAAGTTTGATTAATATCTTTATGTTTGTAAATTAAGCGTTATATGTATATTTTTTATAAAGAGCAAGTGATTATTATCGCATTTCATTAGTTCATTTTAACTGAAATATGTATTTTCTTAAAAAAATAGAAAAAGAATGACCCTCGTTATCGCGACAGGAAATCAACATGTGCCTGATCATAGATTATAAGTTGTAGAGGGCATTTCAATTATGAGCTGATGTGTACTGGTCCTTTGAAATAATATCAATTGTAAGTTGTACCGTTGCGATGCATAATCATAGAAAATATTTTCTGGAGAGTATCCAGCATTTTCATTGTAAATTTATAATGTTCGTTCGCAAATATTAACCGAGTTTTATTTTTCTAATGCCAAACGCAACGCATGATTCACGAATTAATTATTGTACCCGAAGCGTTAACGACCGAATGCGAGATTACTCGATTGTTTATGTAATTTCCCTTGTTTCCGTGGAGAGAAAAAAGGTCGTTCTGTTTTCATTGCGATTTCAGATTTGAATCTGTTACTTTGCTTAACTCGATGGAGAGGTTCGTGACGATTCCATTCTATCGTTTAGCTGTTTCACACATAGATAATATTACGTTAGTTTTAGATACAAGACATGCATTTCATACAGTATTCATAAAAATTATAACTGAGCCTTCCTCACTAAAGAAATAACATTGTTCATTAATGGAAGTATTAATGTATTACGTTTAAATGAAAAAGAGAACTCTTGCGACTACTCTTTTAAGGCGTGAGTATAACTTTAAATCAAAACTAATTATACATCCCATCTTTTTAGTAATGGACAGTGAACTTTTTCAAAGTGAAAGGTTTGTTAGTCCTTGCATAAAAAAAAGAAACGATCGCAGAATGGTGCCAAATTTTATACTGAAAGAAACTCTTGCAGTGCACCAATTCCTTTAATAGCAAGACTAAGAAGAATCTGTTTCTGTGAACATGCTTTTAATAATAACTTACTAAATACTGTAGTTGTAATATACTTATTATCTAAGGCCACGTATTAGTAGCAATTCAAATTTACAACGATTATTTTTTCTGTTTTTTAGAAGAAAATATGTATTTTAGAAAATATCGTCTCTTGTCTAGGAAGATCTGGATTCGATAAGGATAATTTCTAATTTATAAACATAATTTGTAAAGTGTATTATCACCTCACAGTAGACAAAATTTTCTACAACTTTTCTACATACAGCTAATCATGAGATGATATTTATTTAAAAAATTAAAACATACTCTGGTTTTATCTACCTGTATGCGAGAAAGAATGCTATAAAAAATTATTTTTCAGTAATATTAATAGAACAGAAGAGTTCATATGTAACATGTTTCATATCATGAATGATACCATAATGGTTTCTTTGTAATTATCATCTGCTTTCTATTTTGAAACTGCTGTATTGTGAAACTACTCCAGATCATGTACACTATTGTGGAATTATTAATATTTAAATAAAACATCTAATTTAATACAGAATAGCCTTATAATTCCTTCAATCCTTTGTAAACATGTACAGAATTATAATTCTTAAATCTTAGTTTTAAGAATATACTCTACAGCTTCCACAAAAGATTTACACACTTCTGTGGGCAATGGTGTAATTGTGTTTTCATCTCCTTCTCTGTATTTTCCTGTTTGCACTAGAAGACCTCTAATACCAGTTGCTTGTGCTCCAGCTATATCATCTTTAACATCCTAAATAAACAAAATCAACATGAATTTGCATACATATTTACAATCCCCAAACAAATTCTAGTAGCAAGATGTCACACATAGATTCTTTTAATTTTTAAAATGTCTCATATGTTTCTCCATAATTTTCTTGCTATGTTTAACAATTATTTATATGAAAATATGTGCCATCTTGTTTACTTGAGATTAAGAAATATAAACAATGATATTCCTACATCGCCAATCATAACGGCTTCTTCCGGGGGTACATCTCCCAAAGCTGCTTTGAAAAATTCCGCGCTAGGTTTGCCGACAACTTCAGCTTTGACGTTAGCAGAGTATTCCAAACCTGAAATGAATGCGCCTGGCCCCAGGGCTAAACCATCCGGCCGTTTATAATATCGGCCTTTGTGAATCGCTATGAGCGGGGCACCGTCTAACAACAATCTAATATTACAGATTATTTTCTAGTTAAACTTCAGAACAACATTAATAGAATTATGACACCTTCTGCCTAAGACAACTAGGTCATACCTAAAAGCTTTGTTCAATTCATCATAATGGAATTTGTCTGGTGCTAATCCAACCACTACAGCGTTAGCCTTTTCATCGTTCTTTACTAAATCCTCGAAATCTTCATTGGCTGCTTGATCAATCAACAACATCGGATTCAACTTTCTAGAAACGATTAATTTTCTTGCGGCAGCCAAAGAACTGAAGATCTCTTCTTTCTGAATATCGAAACCAAGGCTCGTCAATCGTTTGTGCAGAAACTTTCCGGATTCTTTCGTTGTATTTGTCACGAATTTTAATGGTATGTTAGAACTCCTGAGCCTGTATTAAAATTCGTTAAATGGTCTGGTGTCTGTTTCTTAAATTCAGTTACACGCATATTTTCAATTGTTATCAAAACGGAAATGAAGCATTAGAAAATTTCATGAACGTGTGTATAACATGCTGATCTATTCAAATACTACAGAATTATGAATGCATCGCGCCAATAATTGGAACCGGCGCAATGTAAGCGACGCCATAACAGCATAGACGATGATGTAAAATACTTTTGTACAATACATAAAGGAAAACCACCTGATTAAAGCTTCTACCGCGCCAGGAATCACTGTATTATCAATATGCAACGTTCCACTCAGGTCTATTAATACCATTCGTATTTGTTTCGCCATATTTTCAAAAATATTTGATAACCTGTTCTCTGTTCACTTTGTAGTGTCAAGTCGGTGACTTCTCTATTGTATGTGTACGCATGTGTGTTCAATTGATCAACACAACGTTTAAAATAGTTAATGAGAGATAGTGAAGTGTGTGATCGCACGTGGTACGCTATGGCGCTTTCCGTAAAACAGAAAGGTGTGAAACAAGTTCCATGGTTTTCACTGTAAGTACATGTACATCATAAAACTATAGGTAACCGTTATGTTATGTGAAGATTTGATTTATATAAAATGCAGCATTGATTCATCTTGGATTAATATAAAAAACACAAATCAGATCTTCTTATAGACACTTAGCTGGTGATTATACGATGATTTTTATGTTACAAGAATTTTGTTCCTGATGTTTCTATATTTTTAGAACTGAATGGCATCAGGTGTATCAACAAGTTTATTCCAATGACAAAACTGAACAAACCAAGGCGTATGAAACTCTACTCACGTGGCAAGCAAGGTAATATAACGATATATATTTACCAAAAAAGTTTTGGAGTATTAATGGTATTAATAAAATGGGTTTTAGGGTGCCGAAATTGCCAGTAGGTGTAGACTGCACTCTTTCTATCCTGCAAGTCTGTCTTAGAGATCTCGAATGGGCTCCCAAGATTAATAAGGGAGATTTGCCAATTAGTTATGAAAATGATTTATGTTTGATGTATTCAACCACAATAATGAGATTCTTAAATCATATCTCTAATATAGGACACACAAAGCAAACATCATTGTTTCAAATTGCGAAGCAGGTTAACATACCAGAATGGATTGTGAATTTGAGACATGATACAGCTCATGGACATGAATTACCATCCATTGGTGTATTAAGAATAGCTATAAATATATTATTAACATGGTTACATGTATGTCTATCATTGTACAAATTAAACATTTAAATGGATTGAATTGTATCATTCAATTAACAATATGTTTACAGGAAGAGTATTGGGCAGCTGAAGCCAAGGGACTAGAGGAATGTGCCATCAGTAATGAGCTTGTGAAAGAAGCTCAAGAGACTGAGGAGATACAGGAATTTAGCGATTTAATCGAACTTTGGACTGCTGTTAGTTTATATATTCATGCTGGATACAATTTCGTAAAGGATATTCCAGATTCAGAATTAGTGTATGTACAGTTTTTATTTATAATGAATTTACATTTTATTGTAGTTAACAAATTGACTTTATTAATAGGGAAACATTGCAAGATCTGCGTTCATATGCTATTTCTTTGCCTGAACAAGATAAAGAAGATACAGAAAACAATAATGATAACTACACAGAAGTGACAACTGCCAATATAAAAAAGGATAAAAAATATAAGTTAGATACTGCAAGAATGGTTCTTCTATCTGAGATTTCTAGATATCTCAGTAAAAAATCTATTCCCAATACAAAGGATGTGGTTTGTGATGAACTCTTTAATTCAGAAGCCTTTTTACCAAATGAAGATGTTTTACTCATCTTCACTCACAAAGAAAATACAGAAAATGAGTTAAAAGATGATATTTTGCCATTAGATATGATAAAATTCTGGGAAGATATTATGTTCTTATTATATGAAAAAGAAGTGATGGAGACTTTAATTATAAGATTAATTAAATTAACAGAGAATGAAGAAATAGATAAATATAAAAGGTCATTAGCTTCCTTATGGATAAGTTCTATAGCTTATAGTTTTGTGAAATTAGATGTTGCTCATTGTATATCTCGGTCTTTGGAGTATGAACTAGAGGCAAATAATAAAAGACTGCCACCAAAAGCTTTCGAACTTAAAGTAAAAGACGAAACAGAGAATGCTTATCCACATCTGAAGTATGTTCTATGGTTTAATTTATCTGACGTGGTATTGCCTTTTCTCACTGATATAAATTTCGTTTCGAAGCTTCTGTTAAATGCAAACGAATTCTCTATTAAATTTGTATTACCTATTCTGGAATTAGTAAGTCCAAAAATAGATGCGAATAAGAAACGGTTGTTGTTAAATTTAGTTAAAGTTTATGTAGAAGGACAAGCAACTGATACTGAAAGTTCTAACAAGAACAAAAAAACATTCACAATAGAAGATGTTCATAATCTGCATGGCCATGAAGTACTAAATGTCCTTGAACAAAATGAATTTCAGAATAAAATACGTAGCTTTTTAACGGATCAAAAGGTGCGAAATAATCAATGGAAATTAGCACTTGGTAAGTGTATAATACTTATTTCTTCAATGAAAAGGATTGTAATGAAAATAATAAGAAAATATTGAAATTTTGTTTAGCTAAGTATCAATGGGCTGAATGTCCAGTGGGTTTGCTCCCATGGCAAATTGATTCCATGGAAATGTTAGAACCACTAAAGTCTCTTTCAACTCATAACGTTTCAAGTTTGGAGTCTGAAATTACTCCCGGAGTTCTCAACACGAACGATTTGAAAATGCAAAGTCAAATTAACTGGGACAACGTTCTGAGGAAGAAGAAACGTTTGAAACGGAAACGTGAACGAAGAAATGCGGATATTATAATTAATCGAGCATTGGAGACTGCTAAAAAACAAAAGTAATGCATTACATATACGTTGTATTTTAATATTTTTAATTGGCACTGTTCGTGAAAGGCATGAGAACAAGGAACAGTGTAATTCATCAACGTATTTTTGTAATGTAATAAATTATATATCAAAATTTAAGTTATAAGTATCAAAATTAAAGTAATAAACATAGACTTTTCAACATTTTGTATACGCCACGTGTAATTTCTTTACCGTTAAGCATGTTTAACAGGAAGTGAAAGGAATTACACATGTTTGTAACAATTTAAATAGAATTTATTGAATAGAAACTGTACACGAATTTTACGTAACGGCATTCTCGCGATCAACAACCTCCAATTAACTAAGTAAAACAACAAAAGATAATCCTAATCACATTCATTCGAACCACTCGTACGGAACACAGGTATACTCACACGTATAAGCTAATTTTTTACACAATTAAATTTGTATAATTTACATAGTATAAATTAAAAAGTAATTAAAGTTCTTTGGTTGTCTTTTTTTTCCAATGTACATGTTATAAACAGCAAAGTACATCCATAAAATTAAAACCCAATAGTTCTTTTTTTTCTAAATACAAAATTAAAACAAGTAATTTCTTCTATCGTTGGTGTTGGTTTTCGCGACCACCTCTGCAAGATATTTAGTACTTTCTAAACCAAAATGGTCTAACGGTATCCGAGACATAGCTGCTATCCTAAAAAGCAATAGTATGGTTAAAGAACGTATCGCTTGCATATATCAGTACATGTACGCGCGTATTCATTACCTATCTCCAGAAATATTACACAAGAACTTCCAGTAAGACACACGTAAATTTTGTGGCTCAATAATTGCTACATGGAAGAGTACTGCTGTGCTAAAGCAGTATAAGAAAATCACAAACCATTTCACCTCAGGTACTATTTGTTTTTCCACAAGATCATTCCAGAGTAACTACCAAAAGAAAAAGAGAAAAGAACAACATGTTACAAAATATGTTGATGTAGATACAGTAAAGGTATTAAATGTTCCAAGCAGAATATTTATGTAAATACTTGTAATGCTTTCCACATGAAGTATAAAGCTATGGTATTACCACCATAAGACATAAATGCTAGACCACCTAAGAATCCAGCTGGAAACGCATAATATGCAGAATCTTTCTGGAAAAATCTCCTTAAGGAACAAGAAACTAGCTGAAATAAAAACTGCATTAGTATTCAAAACATCGCTCCTTCAAAAATCTGATTATAATAATGTATATAATGTTGATTGCAAAAAAAGTAAAAGAAAAACGTGTTGAATATGAATTCAACCGTTTTGAGACGGTGTGGTTTCGCGAAGGAGAGGTATGAACTAAGAGAAACGTATTACTACCACCACTGTAGGCGGTGAGTCGGCGGTCGTTCCCCTTACCTCTTAACCCTCCAGCAGCCGAAACAAAGGTGCACTCTAGAGCGAGCAGTACACTTGCACTCAAGTTCACGCGGTACGCGTGTACCCAGTTTAGTGCATACGTACTCGGTCAACGTTCAAACTTAAATTTCGCGAGAAAGGAGTACCTCATAGCAAAATATTTGCGACATATTTGATCGTGTAACTTCATTTATGAGACACTACGTTTCACGTTAAACATTTTAAAGTAAAAGAAAAAAGTTTGAGTACCCTATAAAGTCCTACAAAACCTCCTAAGAACACAGCCAAGTTGAGGTTGCCTTTCTTAAATATTACAGATTTAATTAACTGTGGCTTTGCACGTAACTTTTTAAATTGAAAAACAATATTGAGCAGTAACTGAGTACTGAACCCATAACCAAACAGTTTCATACCACCCTGTAAAATAATTGTAATTATTATTAATGTATTTTCTAAAATCCTTAAGTGTGTTTATTGTTATTTTTATGTATGTACATACCGTTAATACATAATGAAAACAACTATGAGGATGTGGACAAGATACATGCTTCCCTAGATTTTTAAGAGTTTCAATAATTTTCTTATAAACTGCAAGACACTTTAGGAATATATTTTTTTCATGAGTCTTTTTAGCTATGATATTCTTTCTCCTTATGCTCTCTGCATTATTTTCATCTGCAGAATGCTCCAACTCTGGAGATTGCAATCTGCTGTTTTCAACATATTCGATATCTTCATATTTCCCAGTAACAATTCTAGCAAAGATTTAAAATAGTCTTCAAATTGCTTTAGAGTTATGTAACCAATAAAGAAGTAGAATATATACCTCAATATCTTATACATAGAATCATGTTTATTTGTTTTGGAACGGTAAAAATAATGTAACAATGCCACACTTGTAGCAAAAATATATATATCACCATTTGAAATAGAAGAATAGTATCCCCTGGCCTGTCCCATTTTAAATAACGTTTCTGTAGCCTAAAAAGAACAAGTATAAGATACAGCATTGATACAGACTAAGTATTCTTAAATAAATCATTAAGATAATCTATGTTACTCACAATGTTAGATACATATAAACATAACATAGTACGTCTAGATGGTCTTTCGACAAAAATAGCTGTCAAACTGGATAGAAAAGACGGCAAAAAGGATACAGTCAGAAAGTTAAATTGTCCAAGCAGCCGTCTAAAATACAAAAGTATCATTGAAATATCGCTGATTCATTCTTGATCGATACGATTGAATCAATTCCATCTTAAATAATTTATTTGCCATAATATCTTGTTAGTAAGTCATACCTATATAATTGGCATTGACTTTTCGTACCTCAGGGAACAAATGAACATAGCATAGGAAAAGGCACTCCACGAGAGAAAAGCTGTAGATTGTAGGATACCCGCCAATGTTTTTTTGATATCATTTTTAGATGGAACCTTTCCTCTTAATAACAGCGTGACCTACAAACAGAGAGCATAAATAAGAAGAAAGTATCCTAGCATCGCGATACGCGTATCGCCACGTGAAAGCTGTCTAAGTACCCAAAGAAATGCAACAGAAACAAAAAGCTTCGATTACCCTGAAAAAGAAAAAAAGAAAAAAAAGAAAGAAAAAAATAAGCGAACGTACTAAATATACAGTGGAGTATATCCTGATGCTTTCTTGAAGAGCGTGCAGACCGAGTCCGGCTGTCGTGCTGACACAGGAATCGGTCCAAGGATGACAATATTCCTTGCAGCTAGCATCCAGAAAAAACTTGCTCAGTTGAGCAGGCATTTTTCGGCGAACGTTAAACGGTTTTCACAATTGTCAATCACAGAACGTAAAAATCAGCTCGTCGGCCGCCGCATGAAAGTAGAATCGTTCGATGACACTTTCCCGGTCACGATTTATTGATAGTTGTACGATCCTGGCGCACGCATGGTTGAACTCAATTTCAGCTCTCCATCTGGAAGTCACGACGGTTTCGCAACGAGCAATCTTAATCGGGGGAAGCTGATCGCTAACTGTCTGATTGCCTCCAGTGTCTATCAGTGTATGACAGTACAGCTGGATTAGATAAATGTATTTTTCGGCGATGAACTTTGGTTCCTCGACTGTTGACCATAAACAACGTTCCTATATGTCTCTCTTAGATGCACCGATTTAGAAGCACATCATTCGAATACTGCGCAGTCGATGCGTGCGGACCCGCCGACCGCTCGTCATCAACTGAGGAGCGAACGCCGGCGAGGAAATCGACGAACTCCTCTGCCAAATGACTTGAGAACTTTTCGCACCTGAGATTACTGCTGGATTAAGCTTACGATCGCTCATCATCGATTACGCGGGCCGATCGCCGATAGAAGTGTTCTCGACGGAACAATAAAAAGGCGGGCGACGGGCAACGTGTCTTTACGGACGATTCCGAACTGTTTTCGAGAAAATCCAGTTTGAACGTTTAGCCGCCTTCGCGTGCACTGAAAAGACATTTTATGCGAGGGGTCGCACGAGGTAAGGGGAATCACTAATACCACCGTAGATCGAGTTGAGGATCATTCCCCTTACCTCATAGGATTCCGCGAGTGACCAAAGTATATAGCGTATCCGAGTGCACGTGTACTCGAACCGAAAGATGAAAGTAGCGATGGGACGAAGCACGTCGCAGTTGCAACGGTCTTGCGATATGAATTCAGTAACAGATCTCTCCAGGAGTCCCTTTACGAGTCACAATACGGTCGACAAACAACTTTTTCCTTCAGTCGTCAATCGACAGATTTTACGCAATCATTGTTTTCCATGTTTTTTGCTGCTCAAGGATCAATTAGGGATTTGATCGACGATTAATCGACGTCAAGGTTGTTCGAAACCGTGATCTCGACTTGCAATAATTTAGACGTCCGTTGAGACGTCCCAGCATTTCCTCTTCACGACTTGTTTGCATACAATGCAAATATAATTTTATTTATATATCCGTGTTTGTTATATTGGCTCCGTTCAAATATGCAATAAGATGTTAATGTATGTATCTTTTGAATATTCAGGTTCGATATAGAAAGGACGAGATATCGAATATTATCGTACTGAGAAAAATACACTGAGTCATTCAGAGTTCCGTGTATTTTTTTAACTGCCGATCGTGGTAAAAATTTTATTTGTTTATATCTTTAAAATAACGTGGCACGTTGTTATCTACAGTTGACTGACCTTCCTCAACTTGTCCTCGAGTCCTCAACGCGTGTAATGTATCTTTTGGAATATATTGAACGATCTGTAAATCACGGACGAACGGCTTCGAGTAGAGTTCATGGATCACGGAGTATTTCGAGAAAAAATTCATTTCCATTTAGCAACTCAGCTCGTGTAATATATGTTGCGACGATGACAACACAGTATGAATTCGAGCGGATTTTACTTTCACGGTACGCTCCAAAGTTCAGAAGACTCGTGATACACGCGTATCCTAGTTTTTCAGTCTCTGATAATGACACGCTGCGTCGTATAAAAAAATTGTAGTATAATTTAACAATCATGTAACTATGTTATGCAACGGAGAAATAGATGAGATCACGGTAAATTAAGGGTTAACGGTATTCAACGATCATTGAACCACGGAGTCTAACATGTTGAGCGTCATATACATATTAAAAAGGTTATTGGATCTAATCACCGATAGATTTATTCCAGTCTTAATCGACATTTACTGGAATGAATGACAGTTCTTTGCCGAGAGTGTTCGCATACTTCGATATGTTCGAGATCTGATAAAAGTATTTATCGCTTAACATTTCATTCATCGGACCGATTCCATGATAAGTTTGTATGTATTTATTGTAAAGCAACCTTGACGCAACATAATATGTAGCTTTTAGTTTTAGGTATTCGCGAAATATGTGCATTTACATTTTTTCGCGATATTACTTATCGAGAACTGACCCGAAGAAAAGTCTATGGTCGAACTGGAACGAGGCGGATAATATTTGATTAACATTAATGTTAACGGCAAAATACACGAAAGCAATAGTAAACCTTAAAATTAATTGCTTGTAAGTAGTAATTGATTACTGTTTATTATAGAAAAACGATAGCCAGATTCTTCGTAATCAAACAAAGGAAGATGCATATATAATATTGTCTTGCGATGAAATGCAAGTCTCCCGAGTTTACGAAGCGTTGCATGGTTCAAGTGGCGCCATCTTTGATCCACTGGAGCAACACTTTTCTGCGGCTGAGTCGGTATCCCGGGTTATGCAGGTAACATTTGCAATACACTCGACACTTGATAATACCATTCATTGGTTCCTTCAGAACCGCATTGTATGAAACTTCTAATTAGAAGTCGTACAAATGCAATGATTTCTATATTATTAGATAATCGAAATCTATGCACAACAGAAACCGTGCAACTGAACCTTATACAATGATTGTCGAGTATTTCTGCATTTTCTCAATAACAAACGAGAAAAGTCTCCCCATGTTCGACTGTTCATTAACCCTAAGTGACCACTTGGTTTAATACAGTAAAATTATAAAGTTTGTTTAATACTGAACTTTGTACAACGCACCATTATATGAAACATCAAAGTAAATTACTTTTGTCCCTTAATGTATCGATTAAATTATTTATATTAGTCGCAACGAGCATCGTCTACATTTTATTAAAGAGCGTTGAATATTTCTAGCAAAAAACTTTCGAGTGCAAAGGGATAAATTATCCGTTGGCGTTCATTTTTAGGTCACAGCCAGGAGCACAGGACCGACGTGATCAGCCGCACGTACCTACTTGCTTTCTTAATGGTCGATTTGGAAGACTCCGTCATGATGTGATTCAGAGAACGCGCGTCGACAGTGTGTTGTATGTTATTTGTTAATCACAAATGCATCCTGTTTACCACCTATTGACCTAGCGTAGTTCAGAGGTACGGTTCAAATGAAATTGAAAGGAAATGATCTACTTTCGAACGATTTATTCTTGTTCATTAATTACAGGGCAATCGGCGAGGTGTGCTTTTTGGAAAACAACACGGTACGCGTGTAGATAATTTTTCTCCACCTGGTTGTCGATCGTTCGTGGTCCTGTACACGCAGAGAGCTTCTATCTGATAAGGGGGTGACACAATTGTGTTTGGATTGCGATTGGCCGGCGCCGAATAGGTAGTTTTCCGCGTGTCTTTGGTGAACGGTAATTTGTCAGTCGCATTTCAACTGGAGACAGCGCGCGGCGTCGGTATATAAAGCGTTGCCCGAAAAAACGTTGTCTACTAAACGGTGTACACAATCCGGAGCGAAACAATTGCTGTGGCGTGGCGTCGCGCTATATCACTGTTGCATCAGAAACCGCCGAGCACGAACACGAATTTTCTTTGGTGCTGCAGTATGTAAATTAGGTGAGTGTTCACGCGTCATTCGCCGCTATTCGATTACGAGCTTTTATGTGAATTAACATTTTTACAGTTTTAATTGGCGAGCGATCGTGACTATAATTAAACCCACGCGTTCGTACGAGAGGCATTGTTTTGCGTTGCAATGGTATTCTAATTAAATGTCATCGTTAATTAACGGATAAATTTATCGGTGTCGATTTGTTGGGAAATACAGACGAATAACGTTGTCGACGCGAGAATGGAGAAACAGGGGAGATTATTTTAATGTTTATTGTTGTCTAACACGTGTTTTTACGTTGTACGATTTAGGCAGTGATTCTGATTAACGCGACAGTCTTTCGTAGTCTGCGATTAAAACGAGACAAATTATATAAGCGAAACGGTGGACGGGTACTATTCCCATTTGTTTATGACAGTCTGATAAATTGTATTTCTATCCGCCTATTTCCATAATTCTACCGCGCATCAATACCAAACATCACGCGATCATCCTCGCAACACGTGTTCATTAGAACGAACATTAAGATAAAGATCGACCTATAATCAAATTAAATTCATTGCGGTTAAATTAATGTGAAGTTAGATCAACACGATTAGATATGGGCTAACTGTTTTTTATATGTCTCTTTAGCAGAAGCCACTTTGCAAAATAGAACGAAATAAGAATATTAGTAAATGTTTTTTACATTTTTATTTTATCTTCGAATGTTTAGTGTCTCTAATGAAACGAGCATATTATTTCTATAGCTTCCTCTTTTCTAAAAGTAAAACGGCAAGCATTTAATTCAGATTGATTATCGCGTACCAATGAGATAAATGTTAAACGAATATCCTGCTCCTGTTTCTTAACAATTAGCCCACCACTTTCCTGCTCAAAGTTGAACGTTCTCCGATCGATTATATTCTTCTGTGACAGGTTTGTCGTTACGATCGTTAATCATCAACCGCATTCCGAGAAGCCGAAAGAAGAAAAACAAAAGTAAAATGACCACGGGGCTGAAGACAATGGAATTTCTGAAATTGAGCAGGCGTGTCCGGCGACGGCTGAACGCTCGGAACGGTGAGTAACCGCACCACAAATATTGCCACCATTCAATCCGGATCGCGATGTTATCAAACGACTCGTGATAACGAGCCGACACGTGATTCCGCTTAATCAACTTACAAGACCTTCCGCACGCGATCCCCTTTAGCTCGCACAATAGTCACGTTAGTTTGCGATCATCTTAAATAGAAACAAGCGGGAACGCAGCGCGAAGATCTACGATAAAATCGCAAGAGGACGCGCGATGCCTCGAAAATCACAGTTTCCCCAAGGAATCCGCCACGGAAACCATAAGATGCGAACGCAAAGGAAATTTCTCTCCTTCCCTTGTTTTCTGCCTTTCAGGATCAAAGGATTTGACTTCTAACGATCGGAACTTTTTATTTAACGCGCGGAAAGCTGCGATTCGCTGCTTATCCGAGCAAGTCGCGCATCGATTATAATTTCCGTTCTAATCCGTAACAGGACTACTTCTAGTTTAACAGTCGCAAAGGGTTAAACACTATCGTCCCGGTTTAATTAAAGATATCATCGTTTCTTAAAGAAAGTATGAAAAAATGAATAACGATACAGATAAGTTGTCCAGCCTCGGGGCCGAAATTTTTCTGACGTCAAACGAATCTCTCGATTGCGCGTCATTAGTTTAATTACTCGCAGAAGCGTACGTCGGTGTACGTGGATATCGTCTACTTCGTCGGAATAATTTTAACTACACACGCGCTTACTAAAGGATCACGACGCGATCACGCCGACGACCAGACGAAACGAAAATGGCGTGATCGATCGCGCCGATTCGTTCTGCCAACCGACTTTCTGCAATTTCAAGTTGCCCTAAGGATTCCCGTTAATGTACTACCAGTACCTCACGATCGAGTCGATTTGAATACGAATTATAAAATACGGTGCATTTATGCTGCGATAAATGCAGCTCGACGTCCTGCAGCCGCGCGAAATTCATTCGCGACCGTTTCTGCTCGCGATAAAACAGTTACGAATGAATTACTACCGTAGAAATGTCATCTTCGCTTAACGCTGACCGTAGCATTGGAATAATTGATCGCTGGTGACCGCGAGAAATCATAAATGCGGTTTATTGCGGGCAGTGTTTGTCGCGTGCTCGCACGCAATTCGCGGACGCGCGTACGCGGGCATCTTATCTCGCGCACGATTATATAAAATGAAAACAGTGGAAAGAAGGGAAAAATCAAACGAGAAAAAAACGAACGAAATAATCTGCCGGCGGGGAAGATGAGCCGTCGAACGAGGAGTCGAGTCGGCTAATTGTATGGGAACGTCGCGGCTGAACCGTCGGCTCCCCTTTGCACCGTGCAGATTAGAAATTCATTCGGCTCAGATTAGAAACACTTAGTCTTCGGCTTCGTTGTTTCCCAGTCCGCCGCGTTTCTCGTCGATTAGTTCCTGCTGTGCGGCGAAACCTCGTTCGTTACACGATTCCGTGAGTAGAAATGTTCGGCGGAATCGGGTGCAAAACGGTTTTCACGGATGTTTATGTGCATACGCAGCCCTGACGTGGGTTCTAATAAAAATAAAATAGAAATCGGACATTCGCGGTCTAACGATTCCAACAAGGGTTGATTCGAGGAGTCGACCGATTCGCTCGTGGCTAAGTTCTTTCGTGTTAGCAGTGAAGATCGTTCGAATGCTAACAAAATATGTGTTATCGGGTCGTATTGTTTTTCCACGATTAGATGGATCGGATAGATACCTAGACGAATATGATACGAAACTGCGTTTACCTCGATGACTTTTCTTGGTCCTTTTATTTTTTGTTCTTTGCTGAAATTGGTTTTCTTTCGCATAGTGAGCGACCAGCTTCTTGCGGACGGCGAGGAGAAAAGGAAAAGGGTATCTCTGAACGTGAACACGAACATGCTGAAGATCGGGTTTCTCGGAGGAGGCAAGATGGCGCAGGCGCTTGCCAAGGGCTTCATTCGCGCTGGTAAAAATAATGACAGTAATTATGCCCGTTAGGTTCGTAGGTGTAGATTGCCAGTTGTCCCTCGGGAGTATCGTGGCTCTAGTTACGTGTCCGTGTCGTTTCAATCGAAATGGCCGCCTCTGCAACGCGCCCCGGCCTTCCTGGCCCAATTATAGCTTTATCGTTCAGCTTCGACTCGGTTGCAACACTTGACTTCCCACTGAACCGGTGTAAATCTTAAAAACTCCCCCGTCGAAGCGGTCTTCCGACGTTTTAACGCGAACACGGGTTTTCGCAGGATTGAGCAGGGGCGATATGATGCTGGCCAGCTGCCTACCAAACGACGTGAGCAGCATAGACGCGTTCAAGGTGAGTCGGTTTTGCATCCGTGAAAAGAATGAAAATTTCCCTCCCCCTCTTCGTTTTATTGTCCGGGATTAATTTGTCAGCGTTGCATTCCTCAGACACGCAAGACAAACACGATAAAAGATAATCATCGGATCGCCGGGCGTTATCGGGACGCCACGGTTTGCCACGAAAAAACATCAAAACAACAAATATTTTTTTGTTTGCCCAGCTAAACAGATGTACAGTTGCTCGATTGTTTGCTGACAGCGCGATCGATCACAATAACTTGATTCCGAATCAACCGTTGATTCAGATAGAATCGACGGTCTTTCGAGACGATTGATCAACGATGCATATTAATAATCATCGGCTCATCGGGAATAGTCTCGATCTGTGATTTTCGCGATACCGTATCTCGCCCCGAAATTCATTTATTATTCGCTTATTAACACAGAAATGATTTCCCGATAAAAGGTGTGGACGAGGCGTCGCGGCTCGTTCGGTTAGATCTTGAGTCATCCGATTAACTGCCGACCGATCCGTTGATTACGGTTCCTCGATGATTATCGGGAGGCTAGGAAATTTTCCAATACAGTATTTTTCCCTTATCTTCGTCCAACGATAAGTCTATGAAGCGCGTTGCATGTTTGGATTTTATTTTATCTGGAACCTTTACGGTTTACCGATGCAACGACGCACCTCGCTGTATGCACACCGACGAGAATAGAGTACATATTTGAATGCGGGGAAACAACAGTCTTATTAGGGTACATCTTCTCTGATCTCACAGATAATTCGGTTAATTCTAGCGTCATGTATACAAAACGCTTATTACCGTGTCACCGAACATCGGCCATTCTGTTTGCCACCTGATCATTCTTTTCAATGGAACACGTCGCTCTTTTGGATCGTCCTTGAATAATTCTCTTGCGATTCTAGGGAATGGGATCGGAAACTGTGTACTCGAGTGGACCAGTGATCGATCACGGCGATGTCCTAATTCTATCGGTGAAACCGCAAGTGGTGCCGATGATTCTTCCGGACTTGAAGAATTACAACAAACTTCTGCTATCAATCGCCATGGGCGTTCCGATATCGGTATTGGAGAAGGTATACTGAACGATGCTTGTGTTAACGATTCCTAGAAATCTTGATTCTCAGTAATGTGTAAATTCTCAGTAATGAAATCTCTAATTCAGTAATGTTGTATCTAAATATTCAATACTAAATCGCAGGCTTTACCCGGAGGAACTCCAGTGATAAGGGTGATGCCCAATACACCAGCTCTTGTTGGCTGCGGGGCGACAGTGTACGCGCGTGGGAAACACGCTGGCGATAAGGAAGCTGAAATAGCGGAAAAATTGTTTTCTGCTGTAGGGGTCTGCGAGGAAGTCACCGAGAACCTAATTGACCCGGTCACCGCTTTAGCTGGCTCTGGTCCCGCTTATGTAAGCACAATAGAAGATGTATAATAATTAATTGGTTTACCTAGGAAGTTGATAACTCGCTTCTTTATTTTGTTGTGTATAGAGTATTTATGTCGACTGTTTTGTTTAGGTGTATATGATGATAGAGGCGTTGGCTGATGGTGGTGTTAAAATGGGTCTCATGAGGCCAATTGCCTATAAGCTAGCTGCCCAGACTGTTCTTGGCGCTGGTACCATGGTCAGAGACACCAACACTCATCCGGGACAACTTAAGGATGATGTGGCTTCTCCAGCAGGTTGGGAAAATAATATTTTACGTACTTATTAGTTTGTAATTCGGTACGGTATTTTTTAATGTGAAATTACTTTCAATTAGGGTCCACTATAACGGCAATACATTACCTAGAACAACACGGTTTAAGGTCGGCCGTAATTGGTGCGGTGGAAGCCGCAACGAAGCGGTGCAGAGAAGTCAGCTCGCTTTCAGATAAGAACTAGAATCGACTAATGGAATGATAGAATAGAAAATTGGCAACAGACAAGTTAATAACAAGCGGAAGTTGAACAGTAGTATTCATAGTTCCATGTAGGAGATAAAGACCTATATAGTGATAAAGTGCGATCTATTTTTAAGAGATCTTTTGTATATTTTGTAAATATATTTCAAGTTGTCGTTTATTATTCGTTCGATGCGTCGCAATTCAATTTGTAGATCTGTTATTTTCTGACAATAACATATTTTTATAACGAATGTTTACAGTATATGAAAATGTTATGTGTAAATATTTTTTATATTTTGTAATAACATTTGTATGCTTCTATGTGTATGCATATTTAAGTGGAGTAATACTGTGCCAATAGTTTATTTACTGTGCATTTTGCAATAATAAGTCTAAACGAATTATGTAAAATATGATATGAAAATATAATCTTATATAAAATAATATATCAGTGTACTTATTTCTTCCTAGATAACCACTGAGAACTCCTCTAAAGTGAATGTAAATTTGACTGGATTTAAACTTATTACCATGCGATAACATTTATTACTGTTATTATTCGTCAACATTAGTTATCAATGTACTATTTCATCACTGCATATTTGTTGATGCATCAATGAAAGTACCCATTAGAGCCATAATAAAATTAAACATCTGAGTAATATAAATATCTGAAGCATTGTTATATAAAGCTGAGACATCACTTATATCTGATGTTACTATCCTGATATTTATAGTAGGAAAGTTCAGATGATAAAGCTTGTCCTTGATTTTCATGTACACATCGTTCATCGAACCAAGATCCTGTTTCTTTTCTTATCATCTGCCTATTCTGATTAAATGAATTTATGACTGACAAACATTGCTTCATTATGTTATCTGTACTGCGAAATTATTTCTTGTTTACAAATATCTGAAAATTTTGTTTAATATACATGCATTATTACACACTGTTCTCTTTTCCTTATCGTTTTTTTTTAGATCATTATCAGTCCTTTCTGCTTAGTGAATACAATAACTGTTCCGGTATCTAGATTCTTATTATATATGATACCTATTATGTAGACATTTCTCTAAGAAAAATAATCATTCTATTTAAATTTTCCTGCTTTATATACAAAAAATGGCAGCAAAATATGCAACGTATATTCACCAATGAAGTGCATCTTACTGTTACAAAACATAAAATGGTTATGTATCAAATCTCTTGGATCATGGACCGAAATACTATAAATTAATAAGACAAATAATGTTAATTTATATAATATGTAAATAACATAAAGTCGTCGAACTGGATTCTAGGGTTTTTCCCCTCAGAATTGGTCGATGGGAGTTACCCTCTTCATCCAACTTCACCTGTGTGCATTGAACACTATATAGAGTTGCTCACACAGTAAACAACTAAGTGCCAAGTACCTACTTTGCTTCTAGAATAGTCGTAGTTGGGGAATTCTGATCGAGAGTTACTAGTTTGAGGGGAGACAGTTCGAAATCCCTGCTCTAGAGGGATGCTGTAAAAAACACCAGTTTATCTAGAGCCATATTTGTACCAGTTTCTTGCGTTAGATGTTAGGAGTCGCTGTTACCACTGTCTAGTAACAATAGCATTGTTGAGTGTGATTTCGTATGTCTTGAATAGTTAGAGTATGTGGTTCAATGGTGCACATAGTCGTGCAGACCGGGTCAAAGGGAGAAACAAGAATTTACAGATTTCATGTGACTTATTTGGAGCACATTCAAGCTTGCTTGCATTTAAAAGCGATAATTGTTTTGGAAAAAAGATTTCATTCGGACAACGGTAAAAATATTGCTGAAAAACTGAACGTACAAAAGAAAATTCTCGAAAGCGGATCAAGATGCAGGAAGCTCAACCGAAGAGAGGCAAGAAAGGTGAGGAGACTGTGGTACTTTTCGTTGACAAGATCGTGGCACAACAGGCCAGTAGTGTCATTTAATATTCACGTAATGTTTCTTTATTAATTTTAAGACACTTTTAATCTTTTCTTCTTAGCCGAGAAACGTCGTCTGCTTCAACATAACCTTAACTTAACCGCTACTCTGTTGCATACGGAGAGCCCAAAAACGTATTTTTAGTTTCTCTATCGTGTTCGCAGTCGGGCTAGTGAAAGTTCGAATTGTCCACCTTCTTATATAAGTTGAAATATCATTAAATCCGACATTGTATCTCGAAAATTCTTATACCACCACATTTTTTGAGCGCATATTTTATGAATTCCAAGGTGACGTTTACAGGACTTTCTTTTCTGTCAAACGCAAATATATTACTGATAACGTAATCGACGCGTCAAATGTCATATTGCATAAATATTTAGCAGTTGCACTACTGTCACACTGTCAAAACCAGTGGAAAGTGAAAGTTGTCCAGTTGTGAACCAGACAGTGAAAGTACTATGAGTGACAGGGTGTGATTTCATAACTTGTATAAAATTTAGCATTGCGTTAGAATTTAACTTCACTTGAATATTTAAATAAATTAAATATCAATTTTTTATTTTATATATGATTACAACATTGTTATTACATAATAGAATAAAATTTGTTTGATAGAACACTGATTTATGTTATTGCTTACCTACTTGTCTTATTCATAAGTGCATTTTAATTTTGTGATAATTATCTAAGGATTGCTAATGACATTCGTGTACAGATACCTTTAATTTATATAATTTTGTGATTACTATCAGCCAGAAGAAAGCGCAATGATAGTGATGAGGATATTGAAAAAGAGTTGGCCAAATTGGAATTGGAGTATTCTGGGCAACAGAAAGAAGTTCCAAGCGAACCAGTCGAACAGCAAAGCGACGATGATGATAAGGATAAGAAGAAAAAAGAGAAGAAAGGTAAGAAAAAGGAAAAGGCTGAAGTTATCGATACAAAAGTAGAGGTGAAGACTACAGAAGATTTGGAAGAGAATAATATGGACCACGAGGTTGAAGTTAGTACTGTAAAATCTGCTGCACAAAAGAAGAAAGAAAAGAAAGAGAGGGAGAAGCAAAAGAAATTAGCTGCAAAGAAAGCAGTATGTAATATACTTATTCCTTTTTTACATACTGAACAGATGGTCACAGTTTATTGTACTTAATCTGGAATGTACTTTACAGGAAATAGCTAAAAAAGAAGATGGAACAAAGAAAGAAGAAAACGATAATGAAAATGAAGCAGAACCTCCAGTTAACGAAATCAAGAAGGAAACTAAAAAAGAAACTAAAAAGCAAACAAAGAAGGAACCGAAGGAAGAGCCAGAGGTAAAAGTACCGGATGCTGCTGAAGCGGACGCTGCTGATGCTGCTGACGCGGACGCTGCTCCAGCCGAAGGCGAAGATGGGAAGAAGAAGAAAAAGAAAGGAGCAAAGGAGGAGATTAAAGATAAGGACAAAGGTATTGCTTAGCTCGGTATTGTTTCTCTGACACAGTAAATGTGGCATTAGTTATATTTCTTAGGGTATAACATTAATTTGTGTCCACATTTAGTATAATTAGATATGTGCAATAGGCAAAGGTCCTGGGAAGAAGACTATTGCTGCGATGCAAGAAGCACTAAAGAAATTAAAAGAGGTAGAAGAGAGATTAAAACGGGAAGAGGAAGAGAGGCAGAAACAGGAGGAGTTGCGGCAGCAACAACGCCAGGAGCAAATACGACTCGAACAGGAACGCAAAGAAAGGAAGAAACTTAAGGAGAAACAAAGGAAAGAGAGATTAAAAGCGGAAGGGAAACTTTTAACAACAAAACAGAAACAGGACAGAGCGAGAGCGCAGGCTATGATCAACGCGTTCAAAGCTCAAGGTTTGGACTTCCCGGATGTAGGAGAAAAGAAACCCAGACCAGGTAAGAACAAAAATAATTTTCCCACTTTCCTGCTAGACATGGCTCACACCTGAAACGAGCACAGTCTGCATAGTGTAAGATCTGGTAAAGTATGAAAAAGTAAAAAACAAGGTAATTAATTCAGGGACTCGTTTGAGACCGAATAAGTTGAAACAACAAGTGAGTATCGACGAGAAGGACGACGATAAAATGGACGATAGTATGGCAGATGGAGATAAAGTTGAGGTAGAGATCGTAGATCAGCAGATGAAAGAATCGGAAGAGAAAGCGGAGGATGTTAAAGATTCATGGGATGCTGAGAGTAGCGAAGCAGAACAAGAAGAAGGTATGACGTGTACACATACACTTATAATATGTTTTATAATGTTTTTCCTTTAAAAGTACAATGTATGTTAATACGTTCTTAGATAAGTCAGATGATTTACAAAAATCTCCGGACAAGGAGGAAGAGACGATCTTTCGAGATGACAAGACAAAGGAAGATGAGGATGCTGGAGAGAAAGATTCTTCGGAAAGTGAGTCGGAGAGTGAGAGTGCTACCGACTCGGATTCCGAAGAGAGCGAGGATGACAGTGGATTGGAAGACAAAGTATCGGATGCAATGAGAAAGAAGGAACGAGCTAAAGTACGCATACAACTTCGACGGATGGAAGCGGAAAAGAAGAAGTCGCTGGATAATCTCAGAGCAGCTGTAGTCTGCGTGTTGGGTCACGTAGATACAGGTAAAACGAAGATCCTCGACAAATTGAGAAGAACGAACGTGCAAGACGGCGAAGCAGGAGGTATCACACAACAAATCGGTGCAACGAACGTACCCATCGAAGCTATTCAGGAATCAACGAAACACGTTAAAGGAGTAAGCTATCGTTTCCATTCATTATTTTGATACTAAACTTGACGAGTCGAACATAAGGACAAATTCTCTTTTTTAGTTCGCTGACAAAGTATTCAAAATACCTGGACTCTTAATTATAGACACGCCTGGTCACGAATCCTTTAGTAATTTAAGAAACAGAGGGTCTTCTCTTTGTGATATAGCGATATTAGTAGTAGACATTATGCATGGATTAGAGCCACAGACTATTGAAAGTATTAATCTTCTGAAATCAAAGAAATGTCCCTTTATCGTTGCTTTAAATAAAATAGACAGGTAAGGTATTCAAAGTCTACGTGGAAATATTGAACTCGCGCTGGTAATAAAACAGCATTAATGTGATACCTATAGATTATACGATTGGCAAACTATGAACCGGAAAGATATTCAAGATATTGTAAAAAGTCAAGCGATCAATACGCAACGAGAGTTCGAGAAACGTTCGAAGGATGTGATCGTACAGTTTGCCGAGCAAGGCCTCAATGCTGCTTTGTTTTACGAAAATCCTGATTCCAGAAGTTACGTCTCCCTTGTTCCTACTAGCGCCATCACAGGTATATCAGTGCATTATCAGATATATAACGTGGAAAGTTTATAACGAAACACGAACAAAATTTGTTTGGTACAGGCGAGGGTATGGGCAATTTGTTATCGTTAATCGTGGACGCTTGCCAAGGTCCACTAGCCAAGAGACTTATGTACAGCGACGAACTTCAAGCTACTGTTTTGGAAGTAAAAGCGTTACCGGGTCTGGGTACCACGATAGATTGTATTCTAGTCAATGGAATGTTGAGGGAAGGTGAAACGATGATAGTCGCCGGCACTGATGGTCCTATAGTAACTCAGATACGTTCGCTTTTAATGCCACAACCGTTGAAGGAACTTAGAGTCAAAGTAAGGCATTTGAAACGGATTACAAAATAAGAGAACCAATTACACATTATATTTCCTCATTCGATGATATTCCTATTATTCTACATCTTCTCCGCTTCACGATGCAATACATTTATTTTGATTCATAGAGCGCTTACATCGAACATCGAGAAGTTCAAGCTGCACAAGGAGTGAAAATCGCTGCGAAAGACTTGGAGAAAGCAATCGCAGGTAAACACTACTCTCTGCTGTGTACTGTTCACTAGTGAACCATCGATACAGTGAACGTTAACTACAATACATACATTAACATCATAGCATAAAACACGTTTCTTCTATGAGATACGTTTCGTCGACAGGGTTGAATCTTCAAGTGGCTCAGAAGCCCGACGAAGTGGAAATCTTGAAGGAAGAGATCGCGAAAGAGTTAACCAGCGCTCTCGGCAATATTCGGCTCGCGGAACGCGGAGTGTACGTGCAGGCGTCAACTTTGGGGGCACTGGAAGCACTGTTAGACTTCTTGAAGACCAGCAAGATACCGGTAAGTTACATGTTTACTTAACACTTCGTAGTCTTGCTTAGCTAAGACTGCCTGAAAACTGCAGCATTATAAGTTCAAATATGTAGTACCAGATTTGGGGATTCCCTGGCAGTTGTGTTTGAATAGAGCCATTATGTCAGCATTGAATACTTCAACTCAGTGAAAATTGCTCAGAGAAAATCTCGGATTCCACGCTAGCGGAATCAACATGTGACTAAGTATGCGAGCCGGTACGTACACGCTGTACTAGGATGTTCGCACCGAGCAAGGTCCGGAAACTTCGTCGAGTAACTCGAACGCTTTCAGTTGCTATTCAAGAATGGAAAGCGATGCATCGGGACAGGTTCCCAAAAGTGTGTGGCCACGCGTTTAATAGGAGACGGAGCGTTCCAGCCGCCGTTGTTGCCGATTCCTTGATCGACCTTTCGCGCTTTATATTCAATGATGGAACACCACGAAGCAGCGAGAGCGAATAGTGCGGCCAGCAGAAAGATAGACGGAAAAGGAAGCAGAAAGAGGGAGAGAAAGAGAGAAAGAGGCTGGCTGCGAGAATGCGTAAAAGAGAAGATGACGAGCCTCGCTGGACAGAGACCGGCGAGGTGTGGAACGGAAGGGCAACAGAGAGAGAAGAGGCAGCAACGAACCACTTCCTTCTTAACAGTTTAGCAGGATACGACTCATTGGTCGCATACGGTGCTTGTAGTTGTGATCCATCGAGCTATCAGCCGTGTTGTGCATCCGTGGGCACGCCTTGTACGCTTCCACAGGGTGTCTTCTATGTCGCGAGACTTTTCACCCTGGCAAACGTACCCCTGGCTCTAAGGGGTTCGTCGAAACGCGGAAGGAAATGATTCTCGAGCGAAGATTACACGGTCCGACAGGAACCGTACCGTTTTTACTATTCATTGCAGTTAGCTTCATCGAGGATCGAGCAGCGATGACAACGATGCTCCTCTTGATGTAATTGTAATATTTAAACTGGAGGAGAGTTATAAATCCGAACGTACGCGTCGGTTCGAAGATCGAGAAAGCGAATGTTCTCGCAGCGATCCATAGCACGACATTCCATTTATAGCAATGGTAACAAATGCGCGTCTTGCATGGTCTTGCGCGACCATTCGCGTTGTTTACGCAAACGAGTATAGAGCGGTCGGATGTTCGCCGTTTCACGAGACGACGACGGCGTGTCATTGATGCCCGAGCCAAACAGGAAATCCGGAGGAAACGGTAAACAATGAAATTTTGAAAGAGCTCTGTCGAAAATAGTCCACGTTAAATTGTACGAGAGATAGCCTTGCGAATGAATGGTAGTTCCTCTACGATCTTTCGTCACTTGGCAAAGATTGGCGAAGCAAAGAGGATGGATAAGTGGGCTCCGCGCCGGCTGGGAGACGAGCGAGCGCCTCGACGAATAGACGCAGTGCTCGCTCGAAAAACGAACAGCTACCGAAACGAAGGGAACTGTTCCTCCGTAGCCCTTTCTCCCGGAATTTCAACGAGCAGCGACGAAAGAACGCAAGTGGATTCGCTTGAACGTTGCACCGACGGAAGCGTATCCGAGTAGCCCGAGACTAAGCGACTCGATTCTAAAAGTATACACGTGGTCCGCTGCAACGCAATACACAAGAAGAATGCAACAGGACGTTCGCGAAAAGAAACGAGTAAAGAGAAGTGAAAATAGAGCTGCGTCGTACGGTTTACTCGATTCTGTGCGACGTTCGCTGGGAATTTGGCCCAGAGCGCAACTTGCCTTTCGGACAATCATCGCGAGCAATCCTATCAGGGATGACGCAGCAGCCGCGGATCGCGCGGGATGCTTCCAGCGGAAGGGAAAAGAGAAAGAGGAAACTCTCGGAGAGAAATCCGAAAGGTGACGTGGCCGGCTGGAGAGTTCGCCGCGTCGTTGCTCGAGCATTATCATTCGTTCGACAGCGTTCGGTTTCTGTGTAGCTGTCGGCGGTGCATCAACCGTGGTCCGCTCGGCGAGCAGCGCGCGGCGAACAGAGAGGCGAGGGCCGCCGGAGCGAAAGGGGGGCGGCACGGAGGGAACGAGGGAAAGGAAGAGAGAAAGAAAGAAAAGAAAGAGGAAGAGACGAGAAAAAAGTCGGTACGTCGTTCGGTTCGAGGTAACGTCCGAAACGGCCTTAAGCCTGTCCTTCCTCGGATTATGAATGGGCTGCCCCCACCGTATCGTACGATCACGTGGCCCGTGACGTCACGTTTTATCGCTGGCATACGCGACACACGCACTCACGCACGCACGCACGCACGCACGCACGCACGCACGCACGCACGCAAGCAAGCAAGCAAGCAAGCGAGCAAGCCAGCCGTAAGCTCGGTCCCTCCGTCACTCCGCCGGCAGCGCGGCTATGCCTTTTACATATGGCACGCAGGAGGGAGTACGCTGACTATCGAGCAGCGAGGCCGAGGGGCGAGGGGAGGCCACCGTCTCCTCCGCTTCTCTCTTTCCTCCTGCCTCCGCTCACCGATTCTCTCTTCCTCTCGGCTGCGAGTCCTCTATCTCTTTGCGCCTCCTATTCTTCAGAGTCGCGCTTCGGCTCTTCGGACTCCTTTTCTATCTCTTCAGCGTCCTCTTCGTGGACTCTGCAGCGGACCTTCTTCGTTCGGTTTCCCTTGAACCGATCGGGAGCTCCGTTTCTCCGACGATCGTCCCTTCGACTGTTCCTCGATGTTGAGGCTCGACCCTTATCGTCGGCTGCGAAGCTGCTTGCTGGATAGGCATCGGAGTAACTAAGTTTCCCGATCGGTTTCCTCTGCTCTCGCGGAGCCGATCGCTTCGAGCAGACGGCTCGCACGTTCGATCTATAAGCGGAACTTCGAAGCTATGCGACCGAGCAGTTGTCGCGAATGCCATCCCCAGGATATCCACGGTCGGATGAGACACGCTCGTGGCAACGAGAGGAACTCTCGGATTCCCCGGGCAGTCGCTTGCGCTCGCGGGCGACACAGAGGGAAAGAGGAATAGAGAGGACAGCCAGAGAGAGGAGCGCGCGGACGCGTGTGGGCTGGAAAAAGGAATACGTGACCAACGTACAGGAAACTGCCCACACTCGGAGCAAAAGCGGCGTGGGTGGACGGACGGATCGACGAACGGGCGGACGTATCCGATCCGACTCGATTCCGCGGCGTCTTGTCCGCGCGCGGCCTCCTCTCCGTGAAACTAGGTGTCCGTTTTACGGGGAAGTCGCGAGTCCCTCTCGAAAGCGTTTCCAGCGAGAGGACGCCGCGTCGAGAGCGACCTTTCGACAGAGCTGTCGAACTCGTCATCGTTTTCGAAGATGAAGACGAAAGACAGATCGACGAGAGTTAGATGGAAGTTAGATGCAACATGGAAGAACTACGATGGTTTGATTCTGAAACGGACGACTAGCTTAAGGCGAGTCGCGCGCGTCGAGCTGCGGCACGCGGATGAGCGACGAGCGGCGTGCACCGGCTGCAGGAATGTTCCCTCGATTCGAGCCTCGAACATCGGCTTCTCTCTTTCTGTTTTCGGCGGAGCGTGGGCGGCGGAGGTCGACCAGCTATCGATACGCCACCGGTCCCGTTCGATCGGGCCAGCACGCGTCGGCCCGTGGCCTCGTTCCGACGGACTTATTGCTCGCGATTCCTTTTCGGATGGTCCCCTTTCCTCCGTTTACGGCGACGTCGCACCGGCTACTCGAAATCCACCGTGCGACGCGTACGAGAATGTCGGCAGTTCGTTCCGCGATCGCGGATCGTTCCGGGAACGGAGGCAAGGAACGTTCGAGAGTACACTTGTCGCATCTAGGATGATTCCGAGAGGACTACAGTCGCTTTCCAAACAAACTTTAATCACTTTCCTATACGAGAATCGGCAAGAATTGAAATTAGCCTTGAGAAGGTCTGAATTATAATTGTAATTGCGATGGTACCAATCGACGAGCTTACAGACGAAGCTTCTCGACTCGATCCGATCGACTATAGATCGCTAGGAGGGATGCGATAAGCTCGAATCGGCCAGGAAGCGCAAAGTCGCTTTCCTAGATCGAACGGCGTACCACAGGCAAGACGAGAAACGCGAGTTTTCCTTGGAGCACGGCTCCGTTCGATTTCGAACGGTCTAATTGGCGCGTTGATTCCGCGGGGCCGGTATCTGCTCGAAGGGGAGCGCTTAGTATTTACGAAGCGAGCTGCTTCGCTTCGGCTCCGAAGCGCATACGTACGCATATCCGCTTGATTATGATGGCGTTGGCGAATTGAAGATTCCTGCCGAGCGTCTTCCTGTCCTCGTCCTGTTTAGGCGAGCAACATCGGAATAAATAGTTTAACCGGGACACGCGCTATTCTTCTCGGAACGAGCCGCGAGCCACGCGTATCGATTAGCAATTAACCAACCGTGATTTCGTAGTACGGCCACGTACAAATTAACGTTTCGGACTTGTTCGGCTGGACGGAACGTTCCGGCGAGGCTCGGCGGATCGCGATTCCGGACTCGCTTTGGGATCCGCGACGCGCGCGATCATCTCCGAGGATCGGGAAGATCTCCGAAACGAGCCACGTTGATTGGACTCTGTCGCTTCGCTCGATAACCTAAGGATTCAGACTTCTCGCTTGATCAGTCGGAACACGTAGTCCGAAGTCGTTTAGAATCTCAAAGCCGCGGACGATTAGCGTCTCCAGTAAAAATGCGAGTTGCGAATTCGAGCCGATTCCAGGAGCGCGTCGAACATCTGTTCGATCGGCAGATCAAGGCTCGACGGACGATCTTCCGCGACTGTTCGCGATCGTTCTGTTTAACGCGTTGAACGTGGTAGACGCTACGCGCCGACGATCGTTCGCGGTGACGATTGATCATCTCGATATTAGTTTTCGCTTCTACTTCGATCGAAACCGTGTCGAAATGCATTTCTATGATCGTTCGACGCGTTCTCGTTCTCGTTCGACGGGGCGATTCGCGAGCCAGACGGAGCACGATTCGTTCGTCCGACTTCGCAGTCCCCGTGGCGTCGGAGCGGGTT